ATGGAAACATGACAAAAGAAATTTTCCTAGCAACCAGTCTATTTTCCATGTGTATGGACAAAAAAATCACTAACCTTTAGGGCTTGAAATTAATTGTGAATATTAATGAATTTCTTCTCATTTTTTTTTTATCGTAAAGATAAACATTGAAAGTGTTTTCACAATGCATTACATAGAAATAGGAATTTGAGATACATCTGTACTAGACATGGGTAAATATGCATGTTTTGTGTTTTTTGCTGATTCAGCATTTTTGTTGATTTTGGTACTTTTCAAGGCCTTATAACTCAGACTTCTGGCGTAATACAGGAGTTGTAAATATTTCGCATAAAAGCAGAGGGATGTCTCTTTTGGACTTTCAATTCAAAAAGGTGTGTTTTTTGAAAATTCCAATCCATTGCCTAGCAACAAAAATGGATGTTTTGATAAAAAAAAATGGAAAATCGTACAATGTGAAAATTATTAATCTAATAAATTGTAATCTGAGAGTACAAAAACACAGTTTAAAGTAAGAAAATATATCTGAGACAATTTTGCAAACCAAGAAATATTGTAAAGATACTTATCCCCATGGCAACAGCAAATTCTCCATAGCAACAAAGCAAATAAAGTCACTTTTGGCACATATTTATGAACAATTGTAAAATATTAATCCACAGTTTGGTAGCATATTGCAATTAATCAAATTTGATTTTGTAATAGATGTCTTAGCAAAGTACATCTTTATAATTTGAATCCATTTTTATACTTTTAACCCATGACAACAACATTTGAGGACATAAGATCCAAAATATGTTATGGAGAGTTAAGAGCAATTTTCTGTAAACATTTGAACTTTTTTTTTTTTTGGCACGCATGGTCACCGATTTTCATGAAACTTTGCTCATTATAATAGTTACAATTATGATAGTTTGACAACAGAATTTTAAATCAATCAAAGTTTGGTTGCTATGTGCCTTAGTTGTCATGGTAACAGACAGGATGATTTCAACAAAGTTAAGATTTTCGGCTACTTTGAATCTTTATTGGCCCTTCACAAGCACTTAGAAAACCAAATTGGCCATTTAAATATGAAAAAAAAAACAACAATAAACCTTGTTGTCACTTATTATGTACACTGTAAAGAAAGTTTTTGGAATATATCTCTATATAAGTGGTAACCATTGCTACACTCGGCATACATTTTATATGCAGAAAAGCGCTCAGTATTTTCTTATTATGGGAGTTACATAAATTAACTTAATCGCCAGTGATAAAAAAACAATAAAAATAGTTTTCCTTATGAAAATTATTGATTGATTGTATGCTGTTTAACGTCCCATTCGAGAATTTTTCACTCATATAGAGACATCACCATATACCGGTGAAGGGCTTCAAATTCTGACCTTTACTCGGCACTCAGGGCCATTGAGCAGTGTGGGATCTTTAACGTGCCAACGCTTCAAAGTGCCGAGCGCATGGCGAAGGAACAGTTGCTACCCATTTTTTTATCGACTTAGGTCAGTCGCGGCCGAGATTCGAACTCACGACCTCCCGATCACGGAGTGAGCGCTCTACCAACTGAGCTACCGTGAACGGTCTCCTTATGAAAAGTTGTAAGTTATAGCAATATTATTCTAACAATTAAAATATCGGCTGCCATGATAACACATCATTTGTGCCATAGTTATAACCCAGCAAACAAAGATTGGGGTATAAAGGAATCACTGTCTGTCTGTCTCTGTATTCTTTTGTCTGTGCAATCATGATGGGGTAATATAACTTTGTAATGGAGAAAGACTGCAAGTTCATTCTTGATAAAACGATTGTTTATAATCCTGAGGTTGAATTTTGACTTTGTTTAACCCAAGGTCATTTCAACTAATTCAAGGTCGTTGGCAGTAAATAGTGTAAAATTCGTGTCTGGTCTATAACTTTCTTATGAAGGCACATCGGATATTGATATTTCATAGAGAAATTGTTTAAGACATGTACATGTGCCATGTTCTTCATTCAATGTCAGATGATAAAGTTCAAAGTCCTTTATAGAAAAATGTATAATTCGTGTCCTGACCACATTTCGTCATGGAGATATGATAATTCTGGCAAGTGAAGACCACTGGCAGAAAAAAATGTGAAATTTGTGGGTCTTATTTTTTAATGGAAAGTATTGGATGTCCATACGTCATAGAAAAATTGATTCTATTTTTGTTCTTATTATTCTATGACCTAAAAGTTTGTCATGATTTTCACGTAAGGTCATTTGATCAAGTTCAAAGTCAATTTTGAAAAATGTATACATAGTGTCCCGTCTACATCTTGAAATGATTAAACATTGGAAGCCCATACCTGACACAAATATTGCTAATGACTGAGGGGTGTGTCTTCATATTTATTCAAGGTCATTTTGGCAAGGTCAAGGTGGCTACCAGGAAAAGTGTCAAGTTCATTTCTAGTACATAGCTCTTAATTGAAAAACATTGAACGTTCATTGTTGACAAAAAATATTACATATGGCATTTAGGTATGATGTTGCCTTGGTTCAAGTCATTCCGGCAATGCCCGATGTCACTTTCGGCTAAAAGAGTAGATATATCAGGACCACTGATATTCTCCTTATCAATCTGTATCAACATGTATAATTTTGGAATGTTAAATTGGGGACAATAATAGGCTGTTCCACATCACTTTGGTGAATAATCCAAACCATACTTTGCAAAAGTTGTGTCCCTTTCAGCTTTGTGGGTCAACCAAAAGGTCAAAAGAGAAAAAAAAACGACCAAACATTTGGGCGTGCTCCGATCCATCAAATTCTTTTCCTTCAATGTATGGGTAGCCTTATCCTGTGGCGATCAACATAGAAGCAAAATTTTTTCTAATCAAATGACAAAGTTACAAACCAGAAAACTACATAGCCTACTGTGAGGGTTCTATGCATATTCCCCAAAGATGGCGGCCAAGGGACATAAGTTTTGAAAAGTGTGGATTCAAGTGTTTGATTTATATAAAAGTGTTGTGCTTTGCTTGCACTATGCCTAAATAGTAGTCAGGGATTGAAATATGGTGCACAAGCCGGAGGTGCATGCACTATTATTATTATGCTGACTGTTGTATAAAAGCAACAAGAGATGTTTGTAAAACACTTATGCCCCCCCCCCCCCCACAAATAATTGGAATTTTTCTACCAAATTTCATTTCAGTATGTGCAACCTCTGCGGAAAAAAAATGAACAAAAACATGGCAAATAATTGGAATTTTTCTAAGCTTAAGGGGCATAACCCTGTCAAAAATTGTTCGATCGTACCCAAAACAGAACTTGACCTAGATATTCTAATCATACATCTGTATACCAAATTTCATTTCAGTATGTGCAACCTCTGCGAAGAAAATGAACAGAAACTGTTGGTGGACCAACAGACAGACAAACCAACCGACCGACAGACAGCAGCAAAGCAATATGCCCCCCCCCCTTCTTCGAAAGGGGTATAACAATTTTTTTTTTTCGATCTCCAACGTCTCTTCCTAACATGTTGGTACACCCCTTTTATGACGTCACTGTGTGCTACTATTACGTCATAATTTTGAGTGTTTCATGCAGTTAGGTATAGTGTACGGAAAGTTTCAAAGAATTTTAATTGAATAAAGGGATAAAAAAAATTCTAAGAATCTATTTTTTTTAATTGTTTTGTTTTCTTTTAAGTGTCAAATATATGAAACTACGGTCATTTACATTCAAATACAGTGTTTGATAATGGCGTCATGTCGGTATCACGTCGGACTGACAATCTTGTGATCATGAGTTCGATCTTTGTCGTCGGTTTGCAGCAATACAGAAAAAGACATGAATTTTACACTTTTAACTGCTACTGACCTTGAACTAGCTGAAATGACCTTGGGTAAAAGACACAAGATACACCCTCAGATTATTAACAATTTTTCTATCAAGAATGAACTTATAATGTTTCTACATTACAAAGCATTACAAAGTTATGACCCGAACATGATTGCACGATTAAAAGGACACAGAGACAGACCGACAGGTGATTCCTTTATAACCCATATCTTTATTTTCTGGGTTATAACAAACTGTGGTACTATGCTGTGTCATCTCGGCAACTGATATTTTCATTGTTAGAATAATATTGCTAAAATCTTTTTTATAAGGTCCAGTATTTTGATTTTTTATCACTGGAGATCGAGTTGAGTCATGTAACTCCCATAATAAAGTAGCCAAAAATCTAAATTTTTTTGAAATCATCTTGTCTGTTACCATGACAACTAAGGCACATAGCAACCAAACTTCGATTGATTTAAAATTATATTGTCAAACTATCATATATGTAACCATTATAATGAGCAAAGTTTCATGAAAATCAGTGAATACTAGTATGCATGCCAAAAAAAAAGTTCAAATGGATACAGAAAATTGCTCTTAACTCTCCATAACATATTAAAAGACCTTGGCATGGCGGCGCGGCATTGCAGTTTGGCGCAGTAGTACTATGACGTCACAAACGTCAATCGTTTTTCCGCACCATTGGACTTCGGCGTGTCAAACCATCGGGGTTTGGCACAGATCATCGGACTTTGACGTGACCATCGGGCTTTGGAGTCCCATCGCACTTTGGAGTCCTACAGATTTATCTAGGAACTAGTTTTTAAAGGTACATGTATAACAATTCTGCTTGTTTTAGGCAATTAAAACACGTGAATCAACCTGCTTCATGTATTTGCATATGCATTGTACTGCAAATGCGACCTGAACATCTTATGCATATGAGAGAGAGAGAGAGAGAGAGAGAGAGATGTATTAATAAAAACATTTTACTAAAAAGATTTGTCTCAAAAGCTTACAACAAAGAAAGGACACATATTTTTTTCCATATATAACTTACATTTATACAAGTTGGTAAAAACAAATTTTAATGATGCTTTCTGCATTGTGTGAGTAATTTCATGATAATTTCAGAAAGAAAATAAGCACTTCGCAGTCGGATGCGTCGCGCTTAAAGTAAGTGACGGGGGTCATTTTTCAAAATACGAGTTTTATATTTGCTTAGGCATTATGGCGTCTACACCAACACTTTAAAATACCACCGGTCGTAAAGCCTCAACTTCACATGGGCTGACCCAGAATTAGTTTCCTTCATGTACATTTGACATTTCTAACCAAGGTGTGTAATTGTTGAGAGGTACGCCCCGACAAACTCTGAAGGTAAGAAAGTTTTATTGTGTTTACTCAAAATTTTTATCGTAAAACACTTTATCACTTCCTCTGTTTAGTAAAAGCTGGAAAACACCTTTTATACGGGTAAGGTTCACTGTTTTCGTGTTTGTCTGTATTTTAAATATTTAATTAGGATTTTTAAATTTTTGAATATTTTTAAATGTCATCATAATTCAATCAATAAATATCTAATGGTTGGTGATTGCACAATTAAAAAAAAAAAAATTCGAATGCGAATTCATCTTTAAAATGCGTTAAAGTCCTTATGTTCCAAATATGCATTCTGATATTTTACTATGTTCATCTTTCAAATATAACACCTGTAATTTATGGCAATGTTTTCATATTATATAACAGTAGTGATGCGGTGCATGCAATAACTTAAACGCTCTTTACATTAAATGTCAACCAAAATTAGATTTGCCAAAATGTATAATTCTTTTAAATCTCTAAATTTAAACAGGGATAATTGCACGATGATATCATCTCGCATTTTAACATAAATGACAACTAGTGTGATAGATCGTTATAACTGATTGTGTTCCGCGAACAAAACTGTACTGTGAATCAGGAAACAACAAATATCTGAATGTGATTGAAATAAGATTGTGTAAAAGATACGCAATATACCTTGACTAAATTCCTTTGTTGCTATTCTCATAATGCATCACCTACGTAAATATTCGTTTTACTAATGCATTTATAAATGAATGACTTTTGCTTGCCTATGTGGGTGTTTACAATGGATTTAATGATGTTGGTCCTGGTGTGACTGCTTGACAAACGGGGATCGGGGAGGGGGAGACAAAAAATGACAAAAAACGTGGCCGGGGATATAAAGCTTTGGATATATACCTGCTCCTCCCCGTCGACTTCCCTGTTAAGGAAGGTCATGTCCAACAGATTCTTCCTATCTTAACACTGCCAGTCAGACAAATAGTGTTTGAATTTGATAATATGTAGTTTACTTGTTCTAATGTGATATCTAGTGTTGGGATTAATTAATTTCCATTATAATTTTTTTTTTTTTTTTGGATTAAGTGCTCACAACATTATTTAGTGTTTCCTATAAATACAAACCTGAATAAAAAAAAAACAATATGTCTTTTTTTAGTGAGAAAAATCTGAAAACCAGAAAATTGGTTATCCTCTTCTTTTTGATGTTCCTTCTTAGACTGACCACGACAAACACTCACCCTGATCATGATAAGTTAGTAGGGTGTATTAACTATGACAGTGGTAACAGGGTGTGATCCCCATTTAAAGTTCAGTCGCTGAATTAAATGATATCGGAATGTCATAAATTTTATATTCTACATTGATAAATTTTGCTATCTTACTCTGTTTATTTTCTAAAGGTGTGGTGATTCATACATTTTATAGCTCAGGTCTGATTGATCAGAGAGAGAGAGAGAGAGAGAGATTAAATTATATCTTCTCTCCGCATATATTTGAAGTTAAAGAATACCGTATAATATACGTATAAGACTGGTATATGTCATATGTATGGCAATTCTGCAAAGTTCGCATGAAACCAGTGGATCTGTTTGTGGTTGTGTTAGAAAGTGCACTTGAGGAAAGAGGCTACTAGTATTTTTTAATGGTTAGATAGAATACGTGTAATTCCTTATTGATGATATACATTTGAGTTATGATTAAAAGTTTTAAAAGTATTAAGTCATAATTGTTTTTAGTGAGGGTTTTTTACCATTTCTCATAAGATACTGGTATTGATAAATGTAACGATTAAATTTAAAGGTTTACAAGAATTACTTCTCAGGATTAGTGTGCGTGAGATATGAATGAAATCGTTAAGAATATCCGGAAATTTATTTACGATAAAAGGAATTGAAAAATGAAACTGTAGGAACTTTATTTTGAATAAACTTCAGCTAATTTTTTTAAACACTTAACATTTATTGATATCAGGAGAAATCATCGGTATCATCACTTAACAAAGATCCAGGGTATAATCAGAATGTTAATTTGTCTTTTATGTTTAAAGATAATGCATTCTTATCTCATATTTCTATAGCTGATCTTTATATAAATTAATTTATTTTGATAAACAAATGCAGTTAAAGTGTGCAATTTCTGTTGAGTTTGTAATACGTGTATGTGAAGCTGATTTGTAAACATTGTTTAAATGAAACTATTCACATTTCTACTTTGAAATAAAAAAAAAAGTCAAATTAATGATTCACGAGAGTTTTCCTTGGACTCTTGTGAAAATACTTTAAAATTATTTGTTGCGGCTGATTTGATGCTTTGCACCATTCTTACTTTTTCACACACAGTAACGATCTCTAAGTAACATGTAGACTAATTATAAAGTCTGAATGAAACGACACGTTCCTTACAATATCAAAGAAACGATCAAATCTCTCAAACAGCTGCTTAAATTGAAATACGACACCCCACAGTTAACATGAACTAAGCATAAAAGCTTCCTGTGTGATACTAAAATTGAATTTATGTTAAAGCACGTGTAAGGGATGCGACAAACAGAGAATTTGAATGGTGAAAAAAGACACCCCAAAGACCGCTAAAACAGACAACATGACTGGCGAGGGCATCAGCCTCTCATAAGTAGCGGGGTATGTTACTGAGAAAAGAGTGTTAATTAGGACTGACATTGATTCATTAAGGTGTATACAAGTATTAGTAGATGATCGGTATTCAGCTTTTACTAATAATCATTTGTAGTAACGGATCTTAAGAGAAGGCTTTTACAGCCCAATATTTCAGATGGCACGAACAACAATAGATTTTGAATTTTTGATATATTACTATAAGTTTTCTTATTTGAGATAAATATATGTTATTGGATGAGTTTTGATATTTTATTATCTATCTGATGGATTTACATGTAAACTGATTCGGTACTAAATGTCATCTATGAACGTCATGTATTCAACAAAACTGATGATTTTTTTTTAAAATAACACTGAAGGGTTCATTGTCTTACATAGAGGAAAAACTATAAATCATTTTTTTGTCAAAGCCTCTCTTCTAAATACTTGAGGTTTTGAATACATGAGGTAAGGTAATGTGATTAATTTCAAAATTAATTGCACTTTTCTTGTTTTAATCTTCAATCACGTAACATCTACTAGTATACAATCCACATTATTCTGAAAACTATAATTACTTAAATCACATTTACTCTGCTTAAACTATTCCTTAAAGACAAAATTCTCTTCGTTTTCATGATAATAAGTAAACTTTAAAATGATATACAGAAAAAAAAGAAGGATTTTCCGGATCAAAATCAGATTTTCATTTTCATTGTTTTGGAAAACTTCCTCCTTACCGATTTCATTCAGTTTTATATCATCTAAATGTTTAAAAAGTAAATCAGTCAATATTTGAAAGAAATTTCTACAGTTCAGAAGTCAATGGTCTATCAGATTTTTTTTTCTGAGATCTTACATGTATCTTGATAATGATAAATCTTTTCTAATGGGCATCTTGTATCAAAGTATAGGGTCCATTATCGCCATGAAGTGTTAAATGTTTTCCCCAAAAAAAAAAAAAATAATTGATAGAAGTAGGGTTAGTGGAATGGTTTCTTATATTTTTGTTTAATGGAGACGTGTTTGTGTCTTATTGTTGAGAAAAGGTTTTATTGGCAAAAGACTCAACGATTCCTCATAAAAAATATTCATGATCCATCATTTGCCCTATCGCTGCCATTTGAACATTTTAAAGTATGTACATGTACATTTTCTTTTGTTCCATATTATAGATATACAAGTATTTGGTCTTTCTTAAATAACAGCAGTTTGAAATTGCAAATATATACTGTGTGTTCACCAGTGTTTTGTTCCATTCTTGTGTTTTTATGCACTTTTGTCCACGTAAAATTTAAGTATGTTTTCTCTTATATATGTATATGTACATTTAATTTGTGCTAAATGTGTTTCTATGTTACTAGTCGCTAAAAGAGCTTTAAAGCTCATGTTTTTGTTAAATGTATATAGTCCGACTATAAATAAAATTTACTTACTCACTTACTTTCTCTCTTTTAGAAATTATAATTAATAACAATAAACTACAAAATGACTCATTCAGTTACCAAATTACTGATGGATTAATTACTCTTTAAATACGGTTCATATTTGAACGAGAACAATTCTCTTTGAACGAAATCTAAAAGTATATCAATATTATTATTTTTGTATGTGTTTGTATTTTGTTATTGGAAGGAAGGGGGGGTGTGTCAGAAGTTTATTCGATCAAAATATTAATCTCCCTCTACTTTCTTAGATCTCAGATGAAAAAAAAGGTAAAGAACCGAAAGCTTCTACACTACACACATTTATACATGTATCTGAATCCCTATAAACTCGTCCTACTTAATTATGATGAGTATCCTGATATTACAAGTGTAGATTATTAATTACCTACATGTACCTATCTTCTCACGAAGGTTGTATATGTCCGGAAGGAATTTAGTGATTAATGACCATGATGTTTGGATGCGGGAATGGTTCTAATGCAAAAGGTCATTTATCTTAAGATGTGGAAAACTTTAAAAGGGAATTTTCTGTCAAAGTGACAACACAGTGACGATACTTGTATATTTGCTGCAATTTCTGCTCCGATGAATTCAACATAGACCCATGATTAATGAGGTACAATACAAACTTTGTCCCTTATTTATGAAATGACGAAATTTAAAGTTTATTTGTTCACTTAAAAACTCATCCTTAATGGAAGATGATAGAAGTATACACATACATGTCGAGACACATACATGTCGAGTTCTGTGTTTTGTCATCCAGCTAGTGTAGGTGGCTACATTCAATAAGGTCGCACTGATTGCATGTTTCTTAAAACGGCAAATTCTGAATTCAACTCTATCCTTCTAACAAATACATGTATCTCATTGCTAATTGAAATACGTGACTCGTAAATGTAAATCATTCTTGTAAGTAATAATCGATATAATTATGAAAATAAAATACTGAAATTTTATATTAAATGTAGTAAAAGTAGAGGAGGATATGATCTAATACTTTTCACTCAGGCAAATAAATCACACGAACTAGGTGTAGGGCTGAAGGAACATATTTTAAAAGTCAGATGACACAACTTAGAGCTAAAGCGGGGGGAAATAGCCTGAATGTTTGAGAAAAAGTAAAGGAATATTTGGAATGTAAATATAAGTAACATACTAAGAGTTTATTGGGATGTGACTTCATATTTTCACTTGCTTTGTGAAATATACCTGGGTGAAAATATAAACTTAAGTCATATTTTAACTGACTTTCAAAAGTGAAATGCATTTCCCTGTATCTAAACCACTCGAGATGATGTAATGTAAAATTATATTTTTGTTACAGATGACCAGTCACTATAGTTCAAACATGGATTCCAAAAAATCGGACAAGAATCACCTAGAAAACCTCAGCAAAGCTTTAAACAAAGCGAGGGAGTATATCATTCTTCTTCTTACCTACTTCTTATATAAAATCGCGCGTTCGATTGTTACAACTATGCAGAAATTTACTTGGGCAGTGACAGGAGTCGAACGCACGCGGAAGGATGCAAAAAGTGGAATCCAGTTCAAGCATAGTGCGCACGTGCATAATGTGTTATGGCGGCGAAAACTTATTATGTCGTCTGTATCGGAACCTTCGGATTTCATTTTAACTCACAAGTTTTTTAAACATCCCAATTATGTATTGAAGCCCAACATTTCATTGTACTGTATAACTAAAGAGGAGGCATTTTTTGTCGAGATACCAGAGGATGTTAATCTTTATAAGCAATTTGACACTAGATCTTTCTATATGAAGCAGTTCGAAAAAGCTCATAGTGTTATAAGCATGCCTTTAGCATCATTTCATAAAATTGCCCAAGACATTGGCCGTCCAAAAGTACCCATAATCTGGATGTCCTCTACCGGAAGCTGTGGGGCTGCACTGTTAAGTCGAGTGTTTGGACAGCTTCCAGGAATGGCCGTCATCTGTGACCCAGATGCTTTAACTAGTCTTGCATTCTTGAAAAAGTCAAACAAATTTGGGAAAGGTGAATACGAACAATTATTACCCAGCGCACTGAGACTACTGTGTAAACAGGACGACCGTGCAAAAATGTTCTTTGTGAAAACGAGGCCCTGCAGTACTTGTCAAATGGCGGATGTCTATAAATGCTTCCCACAGATTTATCAGCTTTATATTTATCGCAATAGCTTTAAGACTGTGACATCTCACCTCAACATATTTACAAAGGAACCAATATCAATTGTAGGCAAGTATATCATTGACAGTAAAGTATTGTCAGCCGTCTTGCCCTGCTTTCGAAGATCTCTGTATCATAATTATTGTTATGTACTGGAAAGAACGGATTCTACTGAAAACGGAAGAGATCTTACAAGTGTTGGAATATTTGCTACTTCTTGGGCAGCAAATATATCACAATGTCTAGATCACGTGGATGCCGGGGTACCAATTATTGCAATCATGTTCGAAGAAATGATGAAAAATCCACGAAAAATTCTCTCAATCCTATTTGATGTCTTGGAACTGAGGCAGGAGTATATGTCAGACGCCATGGAGGGATTTCGAGTTGATCCATGTAATAACAATGTAGCCGGCGGACTTGGTTTGAATGAGACCAGACGCACAGTGTCTCATCAAGCACGGCTAGAGGCTGACGCCGTACTGAAAAAGCATGGACTACCTAAGCTTGGAGAGAGATTTGAAATCCCTGGACTCCTGGACTTTGAAACAACAAAATTCAGAGGAATAAACACAAAGGAAAGATATTACTAGCTCATTCCCGATATTATTTTATTTCGAAGAATTTGTTTTTGGCATTAAGTTCTATGTATTTTTGCAATAAATAAATTGTCTTTTCTTTGCATCATATACATGTAGAGTTGTACGATTTTGAAGTATATATATCAATAGTTGCTCATTAAAATAAAACTTCCATCAGTCAAGGAAAATTTAGACTGTGGTTGATGCCCACACTTAACTTAGACTATACATTAACTGTATTTGACATTGAGTTTCTGACCATGGAATTCAGAAATGTCGTCCACTGGTCACCAAGTATCATTATCGAGTATGAGATCGATTGAAAGGACGAATGGTACTCAGCATAACATTATCATAGAAGCAGCATAATACTATCATAGAAGCCACATAACACTATCATAGAAGCACCATAACACTATCGTAGAAGCTACATAACACTATCATAGAAGCTACATAACACTATCATAGAAGCAACATAACACTATCATAGAAGCTACATAACACTATCATAGAAGCAACATAACACTATCATAGAAGCAGCATAACACTATCATAGAAGCTACATAACACTATCATAGAAGCAGCATAACACTATCATAGAAGCTACATAACACTATCATAGAAGCAACATAACACTATCATAGAAGCAGCATAACACTATCATAGAAGCTACATAACACTATCATAGAAGCAACATAACACTATCATAGAAGCTACATAACACTATCATAGAAGCAGCATAACACTATCATAGAAGCTACATAACACTATCATAGAAGCTACATAACACTATCATAAAAGCTACATAACACTATCATAGAAGCAGCATAACACTATCATAGAAGCTACATAACACTATCATAGAAGCTACATAAAACTCATAGAAGCAACATAACACTATCATAGAAGCTACATAACACTATCATAGAAGCTACATAACACTATCATAGAAGCTACATAACACTATCATAGAAGCTACATAACACTATCATAGAAGCTACATAACACTATCATAGAAGCCACATAACACTATCATAGAAGCTACATAACACTATCATAGAAGCAACATAACACTATCATAGAAGCTACATAACACTATCATAGAAGCAACATAACACTATCATAGAAGCTACATAACACTATCATAGAAGCAACATAACACTATCATAGAAGCTACATAACACTATCATAGAAGCTACATAACACTATCATAGAAGCTACATAACACTATCATAGAAGCTACATAACACTATCATAGAAGCAGCATAACACTATCATAGAAGCTACATAACACCATCAAAGAAGCACATAACACTATCATAGAAGCTACATAGAAGCTACATAACACTATCATAGAAGCTACATAACAATATCATAGAAGCTACATAACACTATCATAGAAGCAGCATAACATTATCATAGAAGCAGCATAATATTTTCATAGAAGCAGCATAACACTATCATAGAAGCAGCATAACACTATCATAGAGGCAGTATAACACTTTCATAAAAGCACGGACTAAGGGCATATGCAGGGGTCAGACTCAGTCACTATATCCCATGGTTACTCTGTTGCAAGGACAAATCAGGGAAATGATGATGGTAGTTTCAATATATATATATATATATATATATATATATATATATATATATATATATATATATATATATATATATATATATATAGTTTCAATAATAGGTGACTGTACGTGCGAATTTTTAAAATCAGGAATTATCCTTTGTACGAGTATAGTCATCACAACTTATACAATATGGAATATGGTATACCGTCATCTCGTGTCGTGTGACTTCTGAACTGTTTCTTTTTGTCATTAATTAGTTGTCACTAGATCAGCGTCTTCGCTAGCCAGATCAGAAAAACTTGCTAATACAGAGATAAGATAGCGAGATAGAGGCCTTAGTGAAAATGCGCTTAGAACAGTTTAAGTATTTGATAATAGTGAAATATGTATATCTATATGCATGAAATATGTGGAGATAACGAATAGTATTCATGCTCAAAATACTAATCAGGAGCAGAGCAAAAACTAAAACATCAGAGGTGGGATCAGGTGCCATGGAAGAGTGAGCATCCCCTTCCGACCGGTCACACTATTAGTATGAAAAACGTCAGTCAGTATTTGCTGACAAGGTCATTGCATGTCCTATGTATAAGCTTTATCCAGAGGTAGGGTTAGTGTCATTATAAAATAAAAATGTAATTAAATGTAAGTATTATAGTGTATGAGGATAATAGCAGACCACGATAGTTCTTTCGTTTCTTAGCTGCAAATGCTAATTATCAAATGCTACCATGAGTAATTACCTCGTACACAGAAATATAGAAATTTTATTATAATTCCTTAATTATCAATTAAGAAGGAGAGTGTCTATATCGCTGACGTTGAAAAATGCATATTCTTTCATTATAGTATCTCTCACTTCATGTATTGTCCTCCTTAACAATAACGAGCATACGTCAATTTGTTGTTTGCTGATTTTTTTTATCACACAATCCACTATTATGTATTTAATTATATATACAGACAAGTGAGTACGATGTATTTGGTTTGTCGCGCATGTCACTATTATATAATAAGTATCTATATAAACAAAGTGAGTACGATATATTTGATTTGACGCATGCGCTAACATCGTCGGTTACAGAAGATGAGATTGTTCTTACTTTACCCTTTTCTCTGCCATTTGGTTTTAAGTCAAGGTAAGTTTTCGACTGCAGCTTTGTTTTTAAACCGCTTTCTAGATTTATTGCTCTGGGAAAGACATTTATGTGTTCAATCTTATCACTGTGTTTGAAATTGAATTTTATTTTTTACTCCTCCGCCCACTTTATGACAAACTTATCCCCTCCCCCTTTCCATGATGATATTTTATACTTGACTTTCTTAAATTAAATGTCATATTGAAGCAATTATTAAAATGATTGTCTGTTAACAAATGATCACGTGTGAGTTATAGCACAATGAATTGCGAATAAGTAACAGTGAGAATTCACTTAGCAATTTGATAATTACTTTTATATTGTTTTCACTATTTTAAGCAGACATTTACTACAGGTATATCAATTTCATGCTCACAACAATGTATATCAAATATATATAAGGCATTCACTTATCAATTTTAAAAAATACTTTGTTAACTTGATATCCACCATATATTTTTAAGACAATTGTTCAATACACGTTGTAGTAATTAGACATTCTTTTACCGTATCAATTTTATATTCTCTGTAACAGTTAGACATCCATTTATTAATTTAATATTCACTGTTCTAATTTGACATTTTTCCCATATTTAATTAAATAAAAAATCATTTCATTCAGTAAGACTCCGAACTCCTGAATTACAATATAAATTGTACCCAACATATTTTCTCGGCGAAAGTTATAAGAAAAAGGACTGAGAATTCAGTACCAAGTGGTGTCTGAAGACTGAGATTGAGCCTAAACAGAAGTATCCTGATTTCTCGTTCTGTCGGTGAGAAATGAGCAGATCAACTAATTATAACAAGTACATATATTTACATTATTAATTGTACATGACGAATAATAAGACTTTTTATGAAGTCTAGGTCTTTATTATTTTTATGAAGCCAAGACCCACTTATAAGGAAAAAATCAATGTTACAGTACGGTGAAATGGTCATTCAAAGTTTTCTTACTTTGGTTTGTGCAGGCAATTTCACAGAAAATACTTTCAAATCTTCCAACATTATAGTTTATTTGACAGTTTTTTAAGCAAGTATTCATTGCATGATGTAAAAGGATATTTAAAACTTAAAAGAAAATTTCGTAATGGTTGGGTCTTAATTTCACTTTTTTACTTTGCAGCGGCTTATCACGAAATATTTGCCATCTTCAATATCAAGAGGCCCAAGGGCCTTAAACTCACCTGATTATAACATAAGTATGTAAAGAATCCATAGAATGGTAATTTGATACATTTAAATATAAAACAAAATAAACTGACGCATGAAGATGCCTGGTATGTTGCTCAAAAACAGAAGAAATAGTTTAAATGTTAATGGACGACGCACGACAACGGACGAACACAGATAGAAATAGGTCACTTGAATGACTCAGGTGGCCTAAAAATGATAGAGGTGACTACAGTGTATTTATAGAGGAGGCAAATATTTTGCGACGAACTAAGTGACTACTTGCCCAGTCATATTCATTTTTCTCGGCTTATTCTTCTGAACCAGGAAGTTCAATCAGCATTTATTTAAAAGTGATTCACCCTAAAACTGAATAAAGCTGATATTTTCACAAACATTTTTATCTAAACTGGCGTGAAATTGATATCATTTTCATAATTATGTGACAAAAACTTGAAATCCTTGTAGGTAATATGGGAATTAAATTAAAGAAAGTGTGTTGAACAGAAAATTTACTGTTTTGTACTTAGATCTGGGATTTATTTCATTCGTGAGAGAGGTTTTCAAATATTTAATTTCGTATATTTTTTAGCAATCATATATCATATTCCACGATTGAGCAGACTGATTATGAAAAGTACACACAGACGTGTTCGATTAAAACAAATATCCGAAAATCAAGGTGAGAAATCTGGCATGCTTAAGTTGAACAGTTGTTAAATGACCAAAAAAAAAAATTACATAGGATACATATGTTAGATATGAGGTAACACACAAGAGATAGAAAAGTGTTACAATAGAAGCATGTATTTAAATGTTAACGTTGTAGAAAGAGTTACATTACATGTCTGTTACATATTACGTTACGAGTACATGTACCAGTATATAAATAAATGGAGTTACATGATACAGGCAAAGATTACATGTAATAAGTGTAATATGAACTAGATAGGCAGGTTTTACAAAAAGTATGTGCGAAAATATATTAAAAGAAAGTCAGAATAACGTAACTATGGCATGTCAAACGTTGGAATATTCTCTCTTTTCCATGGATATTGTATTATTCTTATTTGTATTCTCTGGTTTTCCATTTGTATTCTAAAATTTTCTATTTGAATTGTAAAAAAAATTTATTTGTATTCTGTATTTTCAATTTGTAATGTAAAAAATTCATTTGTATAATTTTTTATTTGAATTCTATATTTTCCATTTTCATTGTATAATTTCTTATTTTGTATTATATAACTTCTTATTTGTATGCGATACTTTTTAATTTGTATTGTATCCGAGGGATTATTTATTATTATACTGGTCAAATTTTATTAGTCTTTATCAAGTTGAAAGATGTTTTGGGTGCTTAAAGCATACTGCATGGGCTCCTACATGTATTTGGCGTGCATACTTTTTTACTGTAGGTTTTGTACTGTAGGTTGTACTTAAAGGGTCATAGCAGATATTTCATTCGATGTTCAGAAGTTTTAGGGAATATCGGTATTGATGTGAATGTACATGGGAGAGATATTATAGACATAGGTACATGTATTTACTGGCTATGAGGACAATAGCAAATCTATTGTTTTCCCAAAACAGTAACTTACTATTGCTACATTTAAAGTTTAAATCTAAAGTTTAAACTTAACTTTAGTTAGAGATAGTTTTAGTTAAGTTTAAACTTTAGATCATAACTTTTAATGTCTTTAACACTATTTCCAAAGGCACAGCCTTCGATTTGTCGTACACCACGGCCAAAATCTACTATCCTGGCCGTGGGCTGGAGAGAGCTGTATGAGGACTTGTATAGTACTCTAGACCGTGGCTTGAGATAACGCAATAATCAATAAAATTCTGTTTTCTGTGTACTGCACATTAATTAGAAATGAGTATGCAACATATGAGGTCATTATTTTTTCTGTTGTAGATTACACTGAAGTCCTGAGAGATTTCAAGAACAAGAGAATGTTTTGGAAGCTTTTACATTACCTCAGAGTGACTGGGAAATGAATTTCAAAGACATTGTTTATTATTATCCTATTTGAAAATGCTATTAAATGCAAATTAAAACTAATACAATTGTCATTTTTGTTTCTAGAAGAAGAATGTTGTTTAGAAGTAAATAAAAACCAAGTCAGTATGGATTCCTGTCTCAAAGTACGACATGGTGCGGATTTTTGGGTGATCCCGACAATTTGATGACGCAGTCTTAATCGAACACGCTGTCGTCAGAAGGTACGTGGTTTCTGAGCACGCAGCATAGTTAAGGCTACAAAAAGGGGCGGAGCCTAATTTGTACGGGAAAAATTAACTATGACATCATACAAAACCAAAAATTCTTTCATACCACAAAATGAAATGATTTGCTATTTTAAACGGTAGGAGACCATCAAACTACATCAAAACTTACTACAACATGCTGTTTTGTCGTTAGTTAAATCCCACATAACAAGGTATAAACAAGTCACTGATCGCAATGCACTTGTTGATGCGACGTCATTTCGTAAAACGCAGTTTGTATGCAGTTTCTCAACGAAAAATGTATTCTATAATTAGATAAAATATTATTTACAGATATTTCATAGGCCATTAACTTGGATTCAGTGTATTCTTTATGATTTTATTCATATATTTTACGTACATTTCCTATTTAATTGATACTGCCGTATATTTGTATGCAAGTATATCAGAGGCTAATGTAAGGGTCTTAATAAATCGATCTAGTGCAAGGGCATACACTCAATGGATTAAAGTAAGCGTTTACAGATACACTCTAGAAGTATTAAGATATCTGAAAAGTGCTGCGACCCTAGTGAAATCTTCAAAATAATTTATTTATATCAATACTTAATGCCGTTGACCAGCAAAAAATACAGCATGCGGTCATACAAATACGATTTTAACATTGAAATAGCAGAATCCATATAGGATCGCAGCACTTTTCAGAAACTACAATGCGTGTTGAAAATATCTATAACTAAACTTAGAATTTTAACTTGGTTATGCCCTTGCACTAGTGAAATTTATAGGTGACCTCAATACTGCAAGTAAATGTGCTAAAATCACGTGACTGCCGCATCACGTGAAATGTTTAAATATAAAATCTGATCGTCCTCAATATGTAGTTATTAACCATAATTACATTTGTCCGATATAAAAAAAAAAATACTAAAAATAATCGTCATCCTGATTTTGAATACATTTTTAATCACAAAAAATTGTTGATATTTCTATTGCGCACCTTAACTGTACTGCGCAGTAAATTGACATGTCGTTGTTCCAGTTATAGGAACCTTGATATAAGCATATGATCAGAAGTTGTTTTTTTTTGGGGGGGGGGGTTAATGGATTAGAAATAATAAAGCCTGTACAAACTGATTTCTTAAAAAATCTGTTCATGTAACATATTTCTTTGGTATCCCATATTCTTAAGTTAAATTCAAATGCAAATATGACTGATGAAACTCCGTTTCATGCCACGAATCCAAAAGCTTACCATCATGCAGAAGGCAAAGAAGAATTCTAGGATTAACTTTTATATTGGAAGATCTTTGACTTACCACCGTACATAGAAATATTTTAACCTATTCCCACTTTGCCCCCCTCCTCCTTTTGTGTTCCTACACTGGGGTGGGATGGGGTTAGAAACTTTCTAAAAATGTATTTTCTGGTCCTACTGTTCTTGATAAGGAAATTAATATCAATAAATGGCGACGAAAAAGAAGAAATGTGGTGGATGGATGACCCTTGCTTTGTATAAACTTTTTAGAATCTCTTTCAGCAAAGGGCCAAGTTTTCATTTTTATAAGGCGAAATTCTGTACTTAAAAATCTGTAAAAATTAGGATCCGGTCACCACTCAAAACTGCTGACATTGTCCCGCTACACTTCTAGAGTAAGTATCAGAGATGTAAATAAATAAGGCATAATTGTGCTTTCATAGAGTTCAGACCAAATCTAAACTTGCTAAAGATTTCTTGGCATGCGAATTGCGAATTTCAGCATAGGTAATTAGGTATACATTTCAAAACTACAGATTTTTTAAAATATATGCCAAGCATTCCTGGTTCAAACATATACTCGTTATAATTCATAAACTATTCATAAGCTAGATACATGTATGTACAGCATGCCGACGTAAAAAAAAAGGTGTTTTAGTCTATCCTAATAACTTTGGCCCTGCTGTTCTTCACCAGATTTTCCCATTGTAATACATATTATGGCCCCACCCTATCCCTGGGGGTCATGATTTGAATAATTTAGAATCTTCACTATCCCAGCATGCTTCCTTGTAAGTTTCAGCTTCTCTGGCCCACTGGTTCTTGAAAAGAAGGTTTTAAATGATTTTTCCTATTATGATATATTTCAATGTAAAACTTTGATTCCCCATTGTGGCCCCCACTCTACCCCTGGGGGTAAAGATTTCAATAATTTCGAATCTTCACTGCCCCAAGATGCTTCCATGTAAGTTTCAGCTTTTCTGACCCATTGGTTCTTGAAATGAAGATTTTTAAAGGTTTTTCCTATATATTTCAATGTAAAACTTTGATTCCCCATTTGTGGCCCCACCCTACCTCCGGGGCTCATTATTTGAACAATATATAGAATCTACACTACCCCAGAATGCTTCCATGTAAGTTAAGTTTCAGCTTTTCTGGCCCAGTGGTTCCTGAGAAGAAGATTTTTAAAAGATTTTTCCTATACATTTGAATGTAAAACTTTGTTTCCCTATTGTAGCCCCACCCTATCCCCGGGGGTCATGATTTGAACAAATTAAAATCTACACTACCCCAGAATGCTTCCATTAAGTTTCAGCTTTTCTGGCCCAGTGGTTCTTGAGAAGAAGGCTTTTTAATGACCCCACCCTATTTTTGTCTTTTCTTAATTATCTCCCCTTGTAAGGGGGCTTGGTCCTTCATTTTAATAATTTAAACCCCCCTTTACCCAAGAATGCTTTGTACCAATTATGGTCAAAATTGGCCCAGTGGTTCTTGAGAAGAAGTTGAAAATGTGAAAAGTTTACAGACGGACGGACGGACAGACAGACAGACAGCTAGACGAAAAGACGGACGGACAGGTGATCAGAAAAGCTTACGTGAGCTTTCAGCTCAGGTGAACTAAAAAGTGAACAATGATCTATCTCAAAAATTCTGTAAACAATTATACAAATCGTGATACTGATCCCTGGTACATTTACCTGGAAAACTGAGTGGGATTAGCTAACTTTTGATCTTAGTTTCACTTTTACAAAAGGAATATATAGTGGAAAAGTGAGACTGAGATCAAAAGTGAGCTCGTCTCAGTTTTATGGTCCCGGAGCAAGGGGCCTAGGACGATCTAGTAAGCATCCCCCAGGCCCGTAGGAAGCAATTTCAGTTTGGGGGCACAGCCATACATTATCAGTATCAGTCGGCCATTAAGTATTTGATGTTTAATAAGAATTTGAAAAAGGGTTGCCTTACAAAAGAGCACAATTAATGCCTATCGGATTGTTGGAAGACCTGTTTTGGTCTCCAAAGCCTCAAATTAGATGTTTATAATTAATTGTCAATAAGGAACTCAACATCTTTTTAATATCATCTTCATCGTCGGATACCCACGGGTGTTTTCATCTTTTACTTATCAATAAAAGACGAGATCACCCGTGGGTATCTGACAATGTATCATCTTCAGAGTACTTGTATGTAGAATACAACTGATTTTTTACAGAGTACATAACTTTTGTAAGCATAAAAAATTCCGGATTCCATTTTTAGTAAAGAAGCACTGACTGAATTAATGTCAAAAAGTCTGGTCATAATCTTAGGAATGGTTGTATAAAGCGTACTGAGAAAAGTCATCATATTTTAATGCCATCGATCTTAGGAAAAAAATTGATAATTTTCTAAAAGTTCTTTGAATTTCTTGAGAATCGACACACAACATTTTGAAGACGTACATACATGTAGCAAAGTGCGTCTGTAGTTTCTTTTTCAAAGCAGTAGGCCTAGAAAGTGTAATACATTTTTTTGTGTGTGTGAGGAGTAAAGATAGGGGCTTCGTGGAACATTTACTAGATCCTGCAATGTATCCTTGATTTTTTTTCTCAAAAAGCTTATTCACAAACTCGAATTTATTTGAAATTGGGCAGCAGACAAAACCTTTTTTTTTTAAAATTCGCCCTCTCTCTAGCTCAAGGAGAATACACACGCGTACATTAAACAAAGCATTACATTGAAAAAGAACAAACAAAGGGAAAAAAAATTGGAAAATCACAGAGAATTACCGGTTTGGAAATATTGACAACTAAAGTTATCTAATAGTTTTTAAATAAAACGTTTTGTTTTGGCTATAAATATATGTACTTGCTTCAAATATTTGAATATTGAGTCTATGATCTTAAATCTGTTTGTAAGGATTTTAATAAAGATTTACCCCCCCCCCTTTAATGATTTTTAAAGTTATTGTAAAGTAACGAAAAAATTACCACCACCCCCCTCCCCCCCGCCCAGGAAACACGGACCCCATGTAAAATGGTAAGAAAATTATATATGCATAGGAATAAATTAGACTTTAAAAAACTTGTCTTACCCCCCCTCCCCTTCCACCCAAACCCCGCAAGACGAAATGTTTGGGCAAGTTGTTTACGTTTTACCTATTTTTTTCATTTATATGCCTGCAAAGACTTTCGGAGTCAAAATTATTTTTTGTGACTTCGTGTGGACTGTGGACACCAACCCCCACCCAACCATCCCTGGAAAAATTCCTGGATCCACGCATTCTTGAGCATAGTCCAGTAACTTTTGAAGAATCCAATCTCATAAATTCATATGCAATATACATGTACAAAATCGAGAATAGGACAAAAATAAAAGAATTTATTGCGTGACCATCACCTATATTTCACTTAAAAAATATACGAACCAAGTATGTACGACATACTGAGAACACATTAAGATGTCTTAATTTACCCAAAAGAACCAAAATGGAACCTTAAATTATGTTCGAGATTTAAACAGACAAAAAAAGATCTTATATCTCTTTCCAAATAAGTGACTTAATAAAATCACATCTATTTTTTATACTTACTAAATTTTACATTAAAAAAATAAATGGAGAAATTTTATTCCGAATAAAAATAGTAACAGTTCAAATAAAATGACATTCAAAGAATAGCTTTTTTGCGATTCGTAGTATGTGAAAATATCTACAGAAAGCAATAAAGCTAATTAAAAGCTTAAATTAAAAGAAAATTTTTGTGTTTTTGTTTTAACACGTTTGTGTTCTGTTGGTTTTTTTTTTTTTTTTATCCATTTGGGTGAATAGGGATCTCGAAGCGAAATCTCGCTAGCTCGAGATTTAACGAGAGGAAAATAGCTTCGCCGACTTTGTTCTAACAAAGGTGGATAAAATCAGATAATTTGCAGAAAATGATGCAACCACAGCATAATCAGCATAGATATCCTCAACCAGGGCCACCTGTCAGACCATTCCAACAGCCGGGATACCCCGGGGTGAGAAGGAATGCCTTCTAATCAATTATCTCACTTCTTTGATCCCTCAAGATTTTTCACTTTATTCCCCATGTGTTTGCGTTTTGTTACTGCTTTAAACACAAATGTTTTTGAAATAATATGTTGACGGTGCGACCGTTGGGGCGAGCGCATTGTTCACTTCATTTTAAGATCCGCCTCTTCAAACCGCACGAGACATTTGGAACGTCTAGACTGTGACGTCACATGACGTATGTTAGCTGCATTTCCATAAACAAAGTTTAACAAGAATAGATATGGGTTACCCCATATCCAAGATATTCGACTTTTAAATTATTCAAATTATTATTTAAACTGCATGTACATACATGTATATAACGTTACATGCGACTAGTGACTTTTATTATCACAACGTTGCAGATGCCTATAGAAATAGTTTTGATTTCACATAGAACATAGACTAAATATAATTAACCGTATAATTTTAAAGATGTATTTAACAGCTCACTCATTTTCAGGAATATTAATCCAAATAGCATGTTACAGGCCTGTAGCAACGTTTTCAAAGTGAAGGGGGGGGGGCTCCGAAAAAATCCCGCGTACTATGGGCCTGTGCTACATGTGTACCATCTAACTTTCCAATGATAGAGTCTTCTGTAAAAATTCGAAACAAGTCCAAGCAAAGATCAGAGATAGCCCAATTTTTAAAATAGCAAAACTATAGATCTATCAAGGATAGATTTTAATTTATTTTTTAATTTTGTGCTATTAAAGTACTATCACACAAAGTATAGACAGATGTTAAAGATGGGTCAACAAGAGTAATCAATGAACTCGTCTAGAGATGCGTTGACGGCCGTTGTTAAACGCAAAGGAAAGCGCGAGATCGGTTGCGGCTGTGGAGCATCACTGAACATTCCTTCGTCATAGAATAAAATCCGACATTTAACACTTTATATAGATTTTGAATATAGAGACGTTTTGAAGATAAACTTCATTTTTGTTTCTAGAAATGTTTTTATTTACAAAAATAGTATATTTTCGTGTTTTTAAACTGAGTAGATCAATGACCTAGCACCGTTTTAGGTAACTCAGCCCCTCTAGCCCAGTCTAGGGCTTGAGTAAAAACCTGCACTTGTTATGAAACTGGTGTATAGTTCTTCTTCATGTCCGCAGCAAATACTGATACCCAGTCTACATGATCTAAGCGTCACTAGCGAACGGTGCACATACCTGTGCTTGCAAGACCAAATAGACTAGGTTTACACACGTGCGAAGATCCTTTCAGACGAGCTCGGCAAATCACGTTGCTTTGCCGAGAAGTTATGATTGCAGGTGTTTAACCACATAATAACCATTCCGTTATTTAAAAAAAGAGAAACACACACACACACACACACACACACACAGTTAATGATTAATATTCTCACTCAAAAGAAAATATACGGCAATTAACGAACAATAATCATGACAGTTATATATTGGTGAAAAGATTTATCACTATCAATCGAAGGATGACCTATATATTTTCGTGAAAAAGACTGAGGAGGCAGTGAGCGTAGGAATATGAAAACTTTTTATTTCCTTTTCTGGGGGAAAAGTGATTTTCTTAAAATCTTTTTACGTTAATTTTGTTTTCTTTAACGTATTAAATATACATCATTATTCTTAACATTTGTTGTAATTCTGTATCTACTAATCATGAATGGAACTATTTTCTTCGGAGCAATTGTGTGAAGAGTACCTGACTTTAGTAATATATCTTGAATAGATAATATGCACTGATCGAATATATTAAAAAGTGCACATATTTTAACAAAGAACATTTAATCTACTATCTGCATGCAATATCCATTAATGATTAAATTAAGGTGAGTTTATTTTTTGTGAAATTTTAGTTGTTGTTACCGCGTGAATGAAGTTAACAGCGAGAACAAGAAGCGATGCATTGTGGGTCAGAATTACTGCGGAAAAAAATTCTATTGAATGAATGTGCAGTAGTCCGAATTTTCTCTTCGCCCAGGCGTTGTCGTTAGAGCTCGCAGTGACGAGCGGCGCTTTGCGCCGCTCGCTGCGCTCGCTATAACAATTGAAACATACAAATACTTTTTTATATCTATGATTTCTACAAAATTATCTTGTCCCATGTTGTCTCCTGTAATTTGTTTCTGTTTTTGGTAATTAACAGGTCCAGCACAATCTCTTGATTTAGCTATATAGCTTTATTAAGCTATTCAATATAGCTTGATAAAGCTATTTCTGTGCAGTTTTTTACAAAAACTTTTTTTGTAAGAAATAAACAAAAAGTTGCAAATATTTGACTAGTATGCATATATGTACTATGGGCTATGAAAAAAATAAAGATAGTTTTAACATTGCAGCATTTGAATACTTTTAAGCAAAAGATAAATTTCCATTGTTTGAGTAACTGTACACTACTTTGTGTGTGTTGAGATGTGGATAGGTATGATTGCTTCTCATTGTATTTTATTATTACCAGTCAGTTATCTTGTTGACTGTAACTGGCCTCCTTTATAATTTCATTGAAGAAGTAACTGTTTCAACTGCTGTATATAGCCCCAAAACCTTTAGAACTTTGAGTACAAAGTCTCTTTTAATAGGAGATGCAATTTGATGAGTAACTTTTACATGCATTATTTTCAGAAAAGTTCAACAAGGTTGAATATTATCACTGCACCAAGGTGCGACTTTTTGTACATTCTGAGAAAATAACATGTTTAAGAAAAAATTATGGTAAAATAGCTAAATCAAGCTATTCTGAATAGCTTAATAAAGCTATATACAGCTAAATCAAGCTATATGGCTAAATCAAGAGATTGTGCTGGACTTGATTAATGCTTGTTTAAGCACATGCAGGTGTATTCAATTATTACACTAGCCCGAACAAATATTTACATGCCCAAACTTTTATTTAGATTTATTATTATTTGCCTTTTCATGCCAAGGAAATCCATTTCTCCAAAAGCATCTATAGACTGTTTCACAGTAACTGTGGTACTACTCTTTTGCATGACAAAATGATATAGTTTGGTGAAATATGATGTAAAAGTATTTGTTAAATATACATTTGATTATCTGTCAAAAAAAAAACTTCGCCAAACATTATTATTTTGCCCTGCTAAAGAGTAGTACCGCAGTTACCGTGAAGGGGCTAATTGTCACACTATCATTTCCAACCTATACTCTTTTTCTACCTCCAACATGAAAGAGTTTCTTAGAAATCATGGTAGGATAACCTGTTATTAAAATTTTATGTTTCACTTTGAATGAATAAATCAGACAAAGTCTCTTAAGCTATATTAAATGTTATTGGTGTTATTTTATTTGATATGATAACATTATACATGAATGAAAATGAAATACTTGATGAGTGAATTGATCATTTGAATCAAAAGCAGAAGTACATTGTTATGAATGATACAGTGGGTTAAGGACATACGCAACATAGTTTGAACTTTATTGTTCTTTTTCCCTGGAGTTTAAGAGTTCTGATATTTAAAGGAACTGTGTGCTACATTTTAATGTCTATATATGCTGTTGTACACTTCTTTTAAAACAAGTTTGGATGAACAAAACATCTAAAATATATGTTGAGAAATTTTTTAAAATTTTTCTTTGAATTACAGGGTTCGAAATTCACTATATACATTTCGCAAAACGTGAGTTAGAATTCCCCAATTGCGAGTTAAAAATTAGGTAACTCGCAAAAAGTTGCGAGTTGATTTTTTTTGCATTGAAACTGTAGCAAAATTATATAATATGACAGAACACAATGCCTTTGATTTAAATCAGTAATTTAAATAAAAGTCACACTGTAGTTGTATTTTGTGTATTGTACAGTAGTTACTTTTTCCTTAAGTTACATGTATTTAATTTATATAAATTTAACTTTATATGAAAATTGCGAGTAGTCTTATAAAATTGCGAGTTCACTCTCTTGGTACTCGCAATTATTTGAATTAATTATCAGCAGGTAAGGTAGGTTGCTTATGTCCTTAAGCTTCAGAATTTACATGCCCTTTGGACTTTACCAAGTCTCAGGGCTTAGAACTCCCAGGATTTAATTGTCAAAAACTGTACCAGAGATAAGAATTTATCAAAACTGCAACTTACTGCAGAGTCATGTGATTAGTTGAGAAGTAAGGATTTAATAAATGAGATCATTAGAAAGGTGATGTCACTAGTCATTTGGAATGTATGAGAGGTACAGGACAGAAGTGGGCAAGTGGTCTGAGCTTAACTCTTGCCTCAAGTCCCGCCCTGTATCTCTCATAAAGTAGGAAACTCATGTTCTAAATATTACTTGTTTCATATAATATATAATATTTTGCTGTAGGGACCTCCTAGACCTGGTGGTTATGGACCTGGGCCACAAATAGGACCTGGGGGCCCAAGGATGATGAGTCATGGGGCAATGCCACCACATCCATATGCAGGTAATACTGAAAGAAGTAATTAATGATTGTATTAATGATTCTATACCTTTTAGTAATAAAATCTGTCTTGTACATATGAAACTAGAATGAAATTGATTTAAACACTTGTATATGAAACAATTAATGAAGAGTTTTTTTGTGTTTTGGTATAAAGATATTCAAGTACATTTGTTGCACTCAGCCAAACATTCTTTAATTAAATCTTAAAATACATGTATACATACTTTTACATTCATAGACACTTTCTTTTATTAATATACTAAGAAATACATGAATTTTTCTATGGCAACCAGGAGGATCCCCCAGTTCTAAAAATGGTGAGTAAAGGGCAATGAAGCATGGTAGAAGAATCCAAAGCTAACATGTAAATGTGAAAGAACAAAAAATTGCATTGGCTGAGCTGATAGAAAGAAATTTTGAGATAGGAAAATTCTCTGAATTTTGTTTCCCACAATTAGTGTTAGATGTTTGTACAAGTTTAACATAAATTTTTATGAAGAATAAATTTTCTTGTTTTAAATGTAATTTGAAAATATATGGAGAGAACCAAACAATTGGACTGTCTGTAAAAATCACTTGGTTTAAAAAAAACTTGTTGTCAATTGCATGTCTAACACTCAGAATACTAAAAATGTTCTGCTCAAGAATTGAAGTTAATTGCCATAAATATAAGATGTTTCTTTTAAAGAAGAAAGTCTAATCTTCTGGTATTTTTGACAAAGTATCTCTTGTTTGTTACAACTTTTAAGAGCCCTTTAAGATATGAAATTGATTGCCATGCTGAGGACTATGAATTATGTGTTATGTAGTGTGCATGGTTGCATTTTTAGCTCGGTCTGAGAAATCCAAGGACAGTTCGGGTGAGTGTCAGCCATGCTTGACCAGTGTGCAGATGCATTATGATTTTATTTACACACATCAATACAAGTACAGCATGACTAATCAAGGGAGATAAATCTTACTTGTACAGACAAAAAACATGACATTTTAGTCCTTTAATAAAATACTTTATCATTTTGATGTTGATACTGTTAGAAGTGAATCTGTTTTATTTTTTTACAGTATGTGATACTTGTGTGTCACAAGTTTGTTTATATATGGAAGATGTTTGCTTGTACCAGTGTACTGAGATCTAAATACTTTACTGCATGTATTATTAATTGAAGGGTATACATTACATAGTGTACTAATTAATACAGAGTACCAGTTTGAAAATATTTGTGTTTTTTTAAATTTATTTTTTGGGTCACTTTAAAAAATAAAAGTTGTTGGCAAAAGTTTAAAGAAAAATTAGAAGAGACTGGAAGGGGGGAGGGGGGGGGGGTGTTTGATTTCTATGAGAATCATGATTTTAGTGCAAGAATATTTGTTCCAAAATTTTACACCACACCTAATAAATATGCATAAATTCAACACAGAGAGTGTGAAATCTAAAAACCACAATATTGACCACCCTTACTACCTTTTAACTGTATCACATTCTAATTAGATAACTGTAAAGTCTCAAAATTGGTTCCAACAATTACTTGGTTTTCTATTAAAACTTGAACTTTATATGGTATTATGGTACTTGGTAGACAAAGAGTATTTGGTATTTTTTTAGCTCGTGATAAGGGTAAAGAAACATTAGCTGGTAAGTGTGAAGCAAGCTTTGTGTTTATGATTGCTTTCTAGACAAAGCATCCTCCATATTTTTTTTCACAATAAATGTTAAACAGCCTGCAGCATTTTCAATATGACCCAGGTTTCTGGTGCTATAGGTGGTACATGCTCCTGCATTGTAGTAAATCAAAAATACTTCACAGCTTACAGATGTTTCTATAATGGACTTGTTAATCTCTCATAGGCTATTTAATATATGCAGTGCTGCAGATTAGAAATTGAATGACAGTATTTTTATATAAATATTTATAAGTGGGTAAGAAATCTAATTATTGTTGTATGATTATGATGAGACTTGTATTACATTGTAATTGCAGATATATTTGGCAGTCTGATTTTCTTATTGTGGCTTTTTTTTTTAAATTTCAAATAAGCATCTCTATTTTTTTTTACCTCCAATAAAGGCCAGGGTTGAATGTGGGAATGTAGAGCCCTGCTTGATATGATTGTGCAATCATATATTTGTACTAGGCACTGTTTGGCATTTGCTTTCTGGGGGTAAAAAACAATGGAAAAAATTTTGGTAGCCCCAAACCCCATAAATGTTGATTGATTTTTTTTAGCATTGTTTTCAACATTCCGAAGTTCAAATAATCTTAACATGGTGTGATTTCCCCATATACATACTGCAGATGCTAAGCATAGACGTACATGTATATATATATATAATACATATATGTATACTAGGCTTTTGATATTGTGACTTGCCTTGTCTTGTAAATAAATTGAAGAAAAAAATATGTCAGCATTAATGTTTTTATCGTTTGTGTACACATATTAAATTCAACACAAAGAATTTAGATAATTATATATACATATAACTAATTCACTATTTCTCTAAGTAGAAGGTTAAGAAGGTTATCTTAACCTATTATGTTGTATTTGTAATTATATTCACAAGTGTCACACCTCATAAAGGTGGTGTTTTGTCCTTTGTCCTGTTGTAATTAATTACACTGGTTCATATTTGACAACAGCTATGCGCCCTGGGATGTCCCCTGGCATGCCTCCCCCACCACACGGGATGCAGACCCCACATGGAATGGACAGGAAGCGCCCACCAGACCCCAGAGGAACTCCCCAACAAATGAAACAGGCGTAAGTTATTGACGTAAAAGAAGTGACTTCCATGGAATATCCATACATCCTGTGGTTGTCAGGTTTAAAAATAAAATTGTTTCTTAAATTAAGCAAGTCAAAATATTTTATAGTCTTTTTAGCTCACCTGGCTCAAGTGATCTTTTAAGCTGAAAGGATGTCTGGCATCCTTAACCACAGGGTCAGAAAAGTTGTACACGTGTATCTTATATGAAAGCATCATTACATAGTGTAGACACAGTGGACGATCAAAAATTTAGATAGGAATACATGGGAAAAAATCTTTAAAAATCTTTTTCTCAAGAACAGCAAAGTTTTGATTATTCATATTTATATGAAGGCATCCTCAGGTAGGGTAGATAAAGGGGGTAGGGTGGGGCCAGAATGGGCGATCAAAGTTTTACATAGGAATACAGTGTATGTATGAAAAATTTTTAAAATTCTTCTCAAGAACTACAGAGCCATGATTAGTCATATTTTTATAGAAGCATCCTCAGGTAGTGTAGAATTACTTCACTTTTGTCATTATATTCACAAGTGCTACATCTCATAAAGGTGGTATTTTGTCCTTTGTTCTGTTTTAATTAATTATTTAACACAAATTTGTTTAGTTCATGACCTGGGGAGGGGGGGGGGGGTTAGGATGTTTTACATAGGAATATTTAGGGAGAAAATCTACTGATGGAGAACAACAGGTCCATAGTTACTCAGGTAAGTGATGTGGCCATGGGTCTTCTGTCAAGAATAATACTGCTGAAAAAGAGAACCATAATTAAATTATTTTTGTTTTTTTTTTTCAGAAAGAAGAAAAAAAAAGTAGCAGACAAGATTCTTCCACAGAGGGTACCTTACTGTATATTATTTCTAAGTTGTTAATCATATTGTCAGAACTATCATGGTTTGTGAGGTTTTCTTGTAAAAGTAAACTTTGTTTCGCTGTAGTTTATATTAATACATCAAGCAAAGGGTGACTATAACCATTATAATGTGAGGAAAATTTTTAGCCTTGCTTTCAGGTTGAATATATGTAGCAATCATTTGGTTTTTTATTTCCATTTCATGGTAAATCTTTTTCCTGAAATTCTCCCATAATGGTCACAAAACATCAAGTTTCAAAGGATTTGGGCCCTGTACTTGTACCATTTTGTAAAAAACCTTGCAAATGATTAAAGTGGACTATCTGACAAGCTTTAATGTTGAGATGCACATATATTTATTGTATTCCAATTACATCTTAAAGTTTATGAAAGGTTTGGAAATCTAGGAGAGTAATGGGGTTATTTGGTTGTGCATATTTCAGGTGAGGGATTTAGTCCCGGAGTCTCAAGCCTACATGGATCTGCTGGCTTTTGAGAGGAAGCTGGATGCTACTATTATGAGAAAAAGACTAGATATTCAGGAAGCTCTGAAACGCCCAATGAAGGTGAGATATAGATCTAAACAGGAAGTTCTGAAATGCCCCATGAAGGTAAGCTGTTGATCAAGGTAGTGTTGATGGTGATGTTCCAGGAAGGCGAGTTTAAGGATTTGAGATTAATCTGAGACAGGTGGCACTGAGAGCCCATGATGGTAAATTATTCATCTAAAAATCTAAACAACAAGGTCTGAAATGCCCGTTAAAGTTGAGTAAAACATTAATAATTATACATCAATACATGTATGTATATTAAGTGTAAAGGTTGCTATGATTAGGGGGTGTATAACAACCCTGGTTATTTTGAAAAGTTCAAGGTCATTGGATGGTAAGTGTAAATTTCTTATCTATAATGTAATTTTGTAATGAAATAACTTAAATAAAGAAAGGTAGAGTATTTATTACAGGATGTAAATTCTGAAAATAGTCTTGCCTTTTGTAGCAAAAGAGAAAGTTACGAATTTTCATTTCCAATACATTTTACCCGGCAAAAGCTGAAGGGGAGGACGGAGATGAGACTGTTGCATCCTGGGAACTTAGAGTGGAAGGGAGGCTACTAGAAGACGTGAGTAGTATAAATTACCACAGAAGTAAATAAAACAAAGCTCAATTAAGAAATCACTTTATCAGCAAGTGAAGCTACTCAAAGTGAAATCATATTTTTATATTTTACAATATTACAGGCAGCCAGTGCTAAGTTGAATGATACCAGTAAAATGAAAAGGAAGTTCTCCTCTTTCTTTAAGAGTTTGGTGATAGAATTAGACAAGGAACTCTACGGTCCAGATAACCATCTGGTAGAGGTAAAGTCATACTTTCCTAGATTCTCTGATTGAGTTTCACATGAATAATTTATAGAAATATGGAATCTTAGGATCTCACTAAATGATTTCTTTGTTGTAGTACTTAAACCTAGAACAAACTTTGAAAAATTATTTTCATTTATATGCTATGAATTAGTTTTTTTCCTAAGAACCGACTACTGGCCAAATTGACCACATTAAATGATAAAAACTTTTGTTGATATGATCTTTGAACAATTGAGCAAAATCTCATCTTCTAACTCAGGAAAACTTTATTTTTATAGTAAAATCTTAAACTGCACTGATTATAAATTGCAGGATTACTTAACGTTTCCTTTAAAAAAGCATGAAAGATCACAGCTAACAAAATTAAGAATCAGTGCACATTCACTATTCATTGAAACAGGTAGATACTGTAAACCAATAATCCCTAAGGAAAAACGTTTATGCTATATGCTTGTAAATTATTGGTTGAAAATGAAAAACATTTTGTACTTTACTGTCCTGTGTATGACCATCTTCGATTTCAATATTGTGATATTTTTGATGATAAATTATACTGTGGTACTGATCCCATTAAAGAAATTGTTAACCCATGTGAATATAATACTACAAAGCGTTTATGTATCTACTTAGATAAATGCTTTATGCAGAGGAAACAATCCCAAGGTCTATAAGGAACTGTGTAAAATTGAATTGCATGCAATTATGTTATAATATTCTTTTTTTTTTTTCTTTCTGTTATCTGTCATTTGATTTCTTATTTTGACTGTATGCCAACATGGTGATGTCAATAAACTGAATTGAATTGAATTGATAAAAATGCTGCTTAGAAATCAAAAATTTAAAAAATAATTGTTGTAAGGTCCACAGAGATTTTGTTCATTAAACATCACCCCTTAGCCTGTTACTATTGATCTCTAACCCTTTACTTTGAAATAAAGGGAAATCACTGTATGAATTATCTGAGTGCTATTTTTAAATGTCATATTGTCACTAAAAATTGATTGCTTTTGTCTTTAACAGTGGCATAGGACTCCTACAACACAAGAGACAGATGGATTTCAGGTCAAACGTCCAGGGGACCAAAATGTTAAATGCACTGTCCTTTTGATGCTTGACTATCAGGTAAGCCTATTCCTGTGAACTGGATTTCTGTAGAAGTAAATAAATAATTGTGCATTGTAGTTTAACCTGTTTAGGTACATTTAAATTCTTTAAAATAATATGCAATATTGAATGTAAACATTGTAAATATAAATATAATTAAATATTTTAAATTTAAATGTTTAATATGCATTAGATAATGTATTAAACATATTAATACATCATCGCATTAGCTAATGTATTACATGTACATTTTAAAAACATTTTTTGTTGTAGCCACCCCAGTTTAAGTTAGACCCACGGTTGGCTCGTATCTTAGGCGTACATACTCAGACTCGCCCAGTGATTATCAATGCCCTTTGGCAGTACATTAAAACACACAGTCTACAGGATCATCATGAGAGGGAGTACATCAACTGTGACAAGTACCTGGAACAGGTATGTTGTATAGAGTGGATACCTGGAACAGGTATGTTGTATAGAGTGGATACCTCTAATAGGTATGTTGTATAGAGTGAATACCCGGAATGAGTATGTTGTATAGAGTGGATACCTGGAACAGGTATGTTGTATAGAGTGTATACCTTGAACAGGTATGTTGTAGAGAATGGATACCTGGAACAGGTATGTTGTAGAGAATGGATACCTGGAACAGGTATGTTGTAGAGAATGGATACCTGGAACAAGTATGTTGTATAGAGTGCACATGTATAGAGTGGATATGTGGAACAGGAATGTCATATAGAGTGTGTACCTGTAACAGGTATATTGTATGGATATTATATTATTATATGGATACCAGGAACAAGTATGTTGTATAGGGTGGATTCCTGGAATAGGTGTATAGAGTGAATATCTGGAACAGGTTTGTTATATGGAGTGGATACTTGTATCAACTCTATATAACATTTCACATAAATGTACTCAATGTACATTTTATGTGTCAATTTGACAATATATTTGGGGTTTCTTCATAGTAAAACCTGGACTTTGCCATTCCAGGTACACTTGGGGTTAGCCATCACTTATCTGTGGCTCCTTTATTACATTGCCACTTTGCATCTCCTATTTTACGTTTCGATCAGAAAGATTTTGGGGGTATTCCATAGCAAAACATATACTTTGTCATTATACTTAATAAAGGGGTTACTCATTTTGTTAATGCAACTCCTCCTAAACACCTGCATGAAATTTGATGGAAATTTCACAGAATCTCATTCATTTACATACTGCCAAGAAATGCACTTTGCCATTATATTCTTCCTAAAGGGACTGGGGGTATCATTTTGTGAGCTCAGTGCTCCCAGCACCTCTAGTTTATTATGAGTGTAAGCTTCAAAAAGAAATATTACTTACAAGTTACTTTGCTATTATGCCTAAATAGAACACAGTGTTTAAATCTTAAATAAAAAGTGACTGTCATATTTGTTTACTTATTTGGCTATCAAAGGTTATCTTTTAATAAGTATTTTTCTGTAATTAGCTCTCTGTGTCAGAATTTTATTGTTGTGTAAACCCCTGTGAATTATAAGATCATATTCATCTCATTAATTTTCCACGGGATCTTTTTTTTCCAACACTGATCAGGATCAATTATTCCAGCTCTAATGTACATGTATACAGAATTGTATGTGTAACATGGCATTAGGCATATGTGACCAGAGAGCTTTCATAATATAAAAGTTCTTTATCATTGCTAAGAATGTTTCTGTGTATGAATTACCTATATACCTTTAAAATCAATTCCAGATATTTGAGTGCAAGAGAATGAAGTTTGCTGAGATACCAGGGAAGCTTCACAGTCTATTGATGCCACCAGACCCGATAGTGATCAACCATGTCATAACGTAAGGTCAAACTCAAATACTGCAATACTGCTGATGCTTTAAGTGTTGATACACATATACTGTTAAATTAATTGTGTTTTGATTTTTGTACATGTATGTCATATAATACTTTAAACCAACTATTTTTGGCGACAACTTTAATTTGTGATTTGTCCATGTGAAATCTATCCACAGTGATTAATTTTGGCACCTGAGTAATTATTCTGCATAAATATAAAATGAAATAAAGAGTTCACGGCAAGCAATATTTACAAGTATTAAAAAGGTTGTCCTGAAACTTGCTGAAATTTCTTGCACATAAAATAAAAGTTGGTAAATCTATAAATAATAAATTTTCTGTTAACTTTTACAATTTTTTAAAGATTAATTCATAGATAACACTTATTTAAAGTATTTATTTTACATACCCCTGCCTCTGTTGGCAGATCTTGCCTAATGTCTCAAAAAATTGGACTAACTTTCCAGAAATTATCTGATCAGTGTTCTACGGAACTAAGAACTAAACAGTGGTTTATAGTGGTAGTCATGTGTACATGTAAATGATTTAAAATGTGTCAGTTTATGTTTTCATTTATATTTTGAGAGATATTATCGGTTTTCCTAATTCATTAAATTTTCTTCCAGTGTTGAAGGTCCAGATGCCAGAAAGACAGCATGTTATGATATTGATGTAGAAGTGGTAAGCTGTATTGCTATAAATCAAACAGGAAATCTACAAATATTAAACAAAGAAAACGATATCCTGTGAATAAATTGTGAAAGGGAAACTTGATGGTTTTGTTAAAGAGTTGAGTGTGCCATTATCATTTGTAGGATGATACATTGAAACAACAGATGAATTCTTTCCTCCTGTCAACAGCAAGCCAACATGAGATAGGCTCACTAGATTCTAAGGTATGAGTAGCATATATATAAAGCTCACCCGAGCTGAAAGCTCAAGTAAGCTTTTCTGATCACATTTTGTCTGGCATCCGTCTGTCTGTTAACTTTTAACATTTTCGACTTCTTTAAAATCACTGAACCAATTTCAACCAAACTTCCTCGGGTGAAGGAAATTCAAGTTTGTTCAACTGAAGGGCCACTCCCTCTTTCAAGAAGAGATAATTAAGAATTGGTGAAAATTTAATGGCATCATTAAGAACCAGTGATGATTCAAGTTTGTCCCAATCTTGGCCCCGGGGCAGGGGTGTGGTCACAATGGGAGATAGAAATTTTACATAGGAATATGTAAGGAAAAAAAATCTGCTTATGAAGAACAGCAGGCCCATAGTGACATAGGTGAGTGTTGTGGCCCACACCTCTTGTTTTAATTGCTCAACACTTTATATAGTTATTTACATGTAAATTTACCTTGGATAAGTGAAAATTTTATCCTTTTCTATTGCAGTAAAAAAATTATCCTATATCTTTCACCTGAGGGAAACAAGAGTCTGAACAAAGTCTAGTGATATTAATGAATCCTATCAAGTCCATTAGAGTTGCTTTGATGAAAAAAAAATAATAAAATTTTGTTAGAATTTTGGAATCATTGTAATTTGTCAGAGTCAGTGTTCATGGGCAACCAAAATTTTACTGGTTCATGTGGACGTGCTTTCATGTGTGTTCCATATATACAGAGAATTCAATGAACCAATAGGTTGACAGACTTATCTACATTTATCTTAACATTGTGAGAGATGGCTTTTATGAGGCGAATATCAATTGTAGATACATGAAACGGTGGAAACCATTAATCAGCTGAAAACTAACAGAGAATTCTTCTTAAGTTTTGCTAAGGATCCACAGGAGTTTATAAACAACTGGTTAATCTCCCAGTCCCGAGATCTGAAGGTACAATATTTAAAATGAATTATTTAGATGTTATTCTTAATCTTAACGTTTCACTGTTTGTGAAACTTTTACCAGTTGTTTGTTTTGATTCAACAGGCAGATTGAAGTATATTATAAAATCTGAAAATGTATACAACTTAATTAAGTTAAGAAAAGTTTTATAATCAATACATCTAGCAAACACAAGGGTTAATCATTCAGCTGTACATTATAAGTGTCAAAGAAAGATAACTCTTAATTTTTCATAACAACCTTGCTATTCATGCCAGAAACGTTTTTTTTTTTTTTTCAATGCAATACCTTATTTTTCTGTGTTTTTCAGACCATGACTGATGTGGTAGGTAACCCTGAGGAAGAACGACGGGCCGATTACTACTACCAGCCCTGGTCACAGGAGGCCGTCTGTCGTTACTTCTATGGCAAGGTACATGTACTTCCTGAGACTACATTTCGAACTTTGTCTCTTGAAATTTATATGGTTAGACTTTCTTGGGCAAATTCATGATTTCTTTTCAGGATGGGTGGGTGGGGGATTTTTCTCAATGAGAAAAAAAAAAACCCCAGAAATATGCAGGTCCAGCTGATTTTCTGACAAGCCAGAAAAATGCTTCCTTAGTATATTTCTTGCACTTTTCTTAGAAGGGGTGAGAGAGAAGGTTTAAGACAAATTTCAGGGATGCATCCCCCACTATATTCACCTTTAATCTCTGTTTTGTTTGTTTTGATTATATTTTATTGAAAATATGTCAAAGGAATGGACACAAGTTCCAAAAACTTAAGTATTCCTCTCCCAATATTCTTGTTTCTAAGCTGCCTGATAAGTTCTCGTATACATGTAAGAGAATGTTTACTCTGAATTTTGAAAGTTTCAAATATCCTGTTATAAATTTACATTAAATGCTTCAATGTTTTTAGCAGCTCTTGTAGCCAGATTTAGTACAGTTTGATGTTTTTGTTTTGACATCCTTTGTGAATATTTCAGGTCCAGCAGAGAAGGATGGAGTTGGAACAGGCTCTGGGAATACGCAATACATGAGGCTCTGGGAATACACAATACATGAGGCCTCGTTCTAGTGATGACTGTACTGTAACGTATAGAATACATTGTGTAAACTTGTGCACTGTTCACAAGGTACAGAAAGGATTATAAGGTGCTCAGTGTTGTTTAAACAGCAAATTGGAAACTATTTTTGTCATTATAAGGAACTGTGTATTTTAAGTGAAGATAGTGTAACTGTATGGACTTATCTCCTAGTGCAGCCCAAAGGGCACCTGGTCACTTCACATTGATCATTGGGAATTCATTGAATATTTGTCATTTTCTTATTCACTACAGACAAACAAAATGAGATTGAATAAAGTATGTAAGAGAGACTCGTGTTCTAAATTGCAACACTTTCTTCATGTGTAAGAAGGATAATTCTGTGTACATTGTTGTCATTTATACTTGTGTCATTTTCATTAGTAAATTGTGATAAACTAAATGTACAACAAATTTTTCCTCATGTTTTCACTGTCAGGAATAATAGAGACCCTAAAACATGGTACTACACATCAGATGTGCCGTTCACTAAACAAACCATACTGTTCACTAAATGAAGCATATCGTTCACAAAACAAATTGCAAGTTTATGAAGCATACCTTTCATTGTAAGAAGAGTACTGTGCCTGTTTACTGTTAAATGTAAATAATTTATTTGAAGCCCCATCCATGAAATGGCTGCCTTGACTGAGGCATATAGTATTACCCCTTTCCATCCATCATTCCATCAGATTTGGTTTCCTGGACTGTTTTTGCTGTGCATAAAGATATTAACTGATTTTTGGTATGTTTTTTGAAATTGATGATTTACAGATCAAATTCGAGTTTTGTGTTGATTGACCCATTTTTACAAAAAATGTGGATCTTAGACCCTGAAATTTCCTAATTCACTGTAATTTTGCTGTGCTTGAAGATAGCGATATTTGGTTTTGTGTCTTTATACTAATGACTTACAGGTTAAATATGAGTTTTGTATTGATTTACCCATTTTTTGCAAAAAAAGTATGGCTCTTCAAATTTGAAAATGTCGACATGTGCAATCTACTTCACTGTTTTTGGCCTATTTGCTTTGCTTGTAAAAAGTGACAAACATTGCACAAAGCTTAAGTATGTTGTTGTATAGACTATATTAATTCCAGAAAACAAAAGCAGAAATATAATACATGTATTTTATTTTTATCACATTTGTGACGTTCCCATCCATTATTGTAAATTCCCATGTTTGGGCTTTCACATATTCAAAACTTGCATGTCAGCGGGAGCATATGTGTCACCCTGACACATCTAGTTAAGGTCTTCCGTTTCCAACGGAAGACCTTCTACTGATTGTGACGATTAAGATTATTCTTATTATTCTTTTTTTTTTTTTTTCCTAGACGCCAACTTTGACGCTTCATATCTTCCTCATTTTTAAACAGATTTTGTTCAAATTTTCAGAGCTTTTAGACTTTACAAGACACTGTCAGAATACCGTAATACAATTCGGAAATTACCTTCTGTTCACGAGTTATTCCCCTTTGATTGAATTTTGCATGCGTCCGATTTCCAGACAAAGGCTCAGAAATGGTTAAAATTGGAGCACAAAACCCTTTGAAATTGAAAAGAGGAAGCATTGAAGTTGTGCACATCGGTTTTTGTTTTTTGATTTTTGCATTAAAAATGGCGCTAGAGAGGGGTCAAAAGTTAGAACGCGGAAAACAGCAAAAAATTTGACATATTTTCCTTTATATCTTGAAAACTAGAAATATTTTGTTAAGACATGTAGAACAAAAGTTGTGCATAATTGCAAGGGCTTTCATATTATACTATTTAAAAGGGGCTGGCCCCTATGATTAGGGATCTTGGGCCCTTAAAAGTTTTTGCTTTACAACTCAAAAACGGTAAATATTTCGATCTGGATCTTGGGAACAAAATTGTTCTTTTACACCTTTTTGATCTAATGAAAATGTTGTTTTGTTCGAGTATACCATGGGTATTGCGTAATACGTATTAGAAAGCAGGCCAGGTAAACAGGTAACGTTTTTCATTCGGCAAGGAAATCAGACCTCTTCATGTGTATAACTTAAACATACTTGCTATCAATAATATACCCTGCGGTATTTAATGTTAATTTTCTTTTTAATAAGGTTTAAAACGTGGTTTATGGTTCACTATTAAATTATTTATTACAACTAGTCTTTCTTTTCTTCTTTTTTAAATTAGATTAACAGTGTTCAAAAGCAGAGAATATTAAATCTATCTTTCTACGTTTATTATTACAACAAACTTTGTAAGTGATTTTAAACTGTATGCATTGAATAATTCACGATCATTAGCTGTATGCATATAACGGTCTCCATGTTCAGCTCGATGTTTAGTTATGTAACCCAACGCGCGAATCCCACGCCTTTGATCGAGGTCACCAGTGTACTAGCCACCTGTGGCCATAAACAAAGCTAGTATTTGTGATCGCGTATAATGTCAATTTTGTACAAAGAGCTATTAATTAATGGAAAGTTATGTTTTTGATTATATCGAATCAGTAAGATTACTTTACCGATCTTTATAGTCTTAATTCCAAACACTGGTGCATAAAAATCATTTTGAATTTTAATCGCTGTTTTTGTCTGTTCACGCAACAATACATTTAAAAAAAGTATTGCTCTATCCCGTGTTGTTGTATTTTAATTCATCTGCAATTGTAATTGAATGGGGGCTTCGGTAAACAATTGTAATTACTACGCATGCTACGCACATATTATTTTTACCATCACTCTTGTGAATGTCCATTTATTATTTATAGAATTAAATAAACATTAACATAAATAAAAATTCCTTCAAATATACATGTAGTATAATTCAAGTCTTTGTAATATAGCAAACAGTTTCATCCATCTCTGCCGCTTTGTGTCTTAAGTGTTGTAGTCCAGTCCTCGTTTACATACACGTGTCCACAGAGAGCCGCGGGCACCTCGATGTTGAACAAATTATTTTTTCTACTTAACTTGTTACTGTATGTGAACAAAATGATAAACGTGTAATTATTTATAGGTTCCATTATTTTTTCTGAAAATCAGAACACATTTATCAGCTCTCTTAAGGTTTTACGGACACATACTATGTACACGCATGCAAGTACAGAAGATGCACGTTTTATAAGTGCATATGCAAGAGCGCCCCAAATATATGCATATCGAGAGTTTGAAATACAGAAAAATTCTAAATCCCGTTTTTTTTTTCATTATTTTTGCAATAAAATATCGACTACACTGAAATGATTTTATTGATTTACAGCATATATTAAAGTGATTTATAGGTCCGCTGAGTTGATCATGAGTTGTTTTTATAACGGGTAGTCCTCCTGGCCAGTCATCGTCACGGTTTGTAACATCGTAATTACACAGGTAAATGCTAAGATGTCAATCCATATATTTTCCATAAGAAATGAATTATCGGGAGATGTCTCGTTTTCTCTGATCATATATTAATTGACAGCGTTTATGAACAGCTGTTAAAACACAGGCCTTTGGAAACCGGTAAATCACAAAAAAGAAAAATCCGAGACATAAAAAACAGAAAATATAAATGTCTCTGGAAAATCAGATCTTTTTTACGGCCCGGAATTCTGATAGTCGCTGTATTTCTAATCTGATTGACTATACACGTACCTTTAACAAATATTCTTTAATTTTCTTCGGGACCCCTGCATCACTAGTCAGGTGCTGTACCGACTGAGCTACCCAGGCCGATATCCACGACCCAAACCATTACAGTTTAAATAATAAATAAATAATAAAACTTTTATTAACTTATATCTTCATTTTTTTCAAAAAATTTTTTTAACTTAATTATAAGAAATCAATGCAGGTGCTCCACGTGTCAATTATTGTGATAGAGGTACTTACCACGTGACCTGATCATAATGCATTCATATTGGTCAACTCTGTGATGCATGTGTGTATTTATCAAACCTTTCAAACTCTTTCCTCTTGACACCATCTTTAAGTGTATTAAAAAGTCAAGCGACTTCCTGTCAATTTTGAATATCGCCACCGCACGTGTATTTTGAACTTTGATTACCAGTTTCATTATTTTCATCAATAATAAATATCCTTTTAGCCTGTCATTTTCGGAATTTTAAAAACTAAACTTCACACAAAAAATCACGGACTTCTTGTTAAGTTATAATGCAAACAAACGACTGAAACATCTTGAACACAAGAAGGGTTGGTGAGGTGCATAACTACACGTCTAAAATAAAAAAAATTATTTGTAAGAATTTGTCAACTTCTGGGGGCTTCGCCCCTGGATCCCCACCAGGGCTTTGTTATAGACCCTCTGGGAGCTTCATTGCAGCCCCCCCCCCGACCCCTCCCCTGCCTTCTACTTTGCCCCCCCCCCCCCCGTTATGAAATTCCTGGATCTGCCACTGCAAGGGGCGTAATAAACAAGAATAATATAACTTTGAAGGGATGTGATCATGTATTGGTACTTTTACCTATGATATATACACAAAGACCTCTAGATCTACACGACAGAAATAAAGCTTGAGCGGCAGCTCTGCTTTAAAACATGTATCTACTTTTCGGTACAATCATAGAAAATTATAAGTATTTAGCAAATCCTTGCTACAAAGCACAAACACCATAATATTAAACTTGATATGTAACTAAAATTATTCCATCAATAATCCACGAACATACATTGAAAGGATTATAAATATCTGTAGAAATTAAAAAGCAATTTGGAATTTAAAAAAAAAAAACTGTCGGCAAGTTTCTTATTGCTGCTATTGCGTTGAACATGCCATTTGATTGACAATCTCTCTATATATGTAATATAGAATTTTTTGTATTATTTTCATTTTTTATCTTAATAATTAATTATTACTGATTATTTCTATTTTTATCATTATTTTGTACTACACGTATGTGTTTGTGGTTTAAGTGCAAAGTTAGGCTGTAGATTATAAAACTATAACATATGCCAGGACAGACATTTCTACATGTTACTTTTCAAGGACATAGCATCGTTTTTGAAAGGGGGGGGGGGCAGCCAGAGAAAAAAATTAACTTACCTGAAAAGACTTCACAAGCAAAACCAAAATAGGAAAATAGCCCAGAATCCTATTTCCTGGCTGAAAGGGGTGGGGACAACGGGACTATACTGCACCAAAAAGTGGGGGCCAACGGGACTTTCAATGAACATTACTAAAGTAAAAAAATAGGTCTGAAAAAAGGGGGAGGTTGATGCTACGTGCCTGCTCTTATAGCACATGCTTTATTTGATCTGCAATATCATAAGTTTACTTGATTGAATATCTCGGAGTCTCTCTTATCCTTTCTACAGCCTTTTAGTTTGACCAACTATGCAAAATTTAGCCTTTTGAACAGTTGGCGTTAGGGCTTTCATACTTCACATCCGAAATTCTTTGTGACAAGACCTTTTCTTTGGAATAACTATTTTTGACCTTGTGACGTTCACCTTGGAGTTTGACCCACTTTTTAAAAAATCTAACCTTGGCAATACCTTTAGAACGGTTGGGACTAGTGTTTTCACATTCACAGGTGTATTCCTTGTGAAAACACTGTTCATTGGATATCAACAATTTTTACTATTTGACCTTGACCTTGGAGTTTGACGTACTTTAAAAAAAATTAAAAGTTTTGACTTTTCACCTTTGACCTTAGAGTTTGACCTACCGTTGAAACATTTTAATCTCATTCATAACTTTTCAACGGTTGATGTTAGGGTTTTCGTATTTTTACATGTGTGTTTCTTGTGACAAGACCCTCCCTTGAGTACCGACAGTTTTGACTTTTGTCCTTGATCTTGGGGTTTGACCTTCTTTTGAAAAAAAAAAAACGTTGACCTTTGTCATAACTTTTGAATAATTAATGCTAGGGCTTTCATATTTCAATGTCTATTTCTTATGACAAGGCATTCCTTTGGACACCGTTAATCTATCCTTGACCTTAACATTTGATTTGAGTATAAAAAAAAATAACCTTTGTCATGCTTTTCAATAGTTGGTCATATAGCGGATTTATATTTCACAGTTATATTCACTGAGACGAGATCTTTCTTTGGGTAACATAATATCTTATCTCTTGACTTTGACCTTGGAGTTGGATACGGATTTGAGAAACTTAAACCTTTGCCATAAGCTGCAATACCGGGGCATCAGTGTTTCACAAACACGTCTTGTTCAATATCCAAACTGGACAAAAACATTCACAATGAATCCTTAAATCATTGTGTGGAACCTGATAAATTATTTGACTCGATCTATGGTCTGAAAGAACATGGCTAACCTTATCCAGTCAATAACTCACAGATTGGGATTTTTCTTAACCAGTGTGTGTTATGGTCTTGATGAAAGGTCATTTGGATGAGATTGGATGAGAAGCTTTAAATTCGTTACCGTCTTTTTCTAGTGAAACATTGTTGGTATCATGCAGGGTGTGACATGGCCTAAACTCAAGTTCAAGGTCACTAAGGATAAGATATTTTGACTGGATGTATGGACTGTATGAACATGAGTGAATTTGGGAAGTTAGTAATACACAGATGGGGTTTGCTCATAACCAGAGTGTGTCATGGCTTTCGCAAGGTCATTTGGACAAGTTCAAGGTCACATGCATTCCTTTATCGTCTTTATACTACAGAGTGAAACATTGTTAGTTGATACCTCTTACAAGATTGCTTATAACCTTATGATATGGCATGACCTTGACTTCAACGGAAGACCTACTCGTTGCTTTGCAACGAGCTCGGCTCTAGTTTCATTGTATTTTTCTGTAGTGATTCAAACACACAAATGATCGATTTAAAACTCGAGAAAAAAATTGTACATTTATAATTGCTCAAAAATAAGAAAAATTCACAAGAAATATTTTTCTTATTGTTCATTTGATCTTCCAGTGAAAAAAAAACAAACAAAAATGTGTTCATTTCTTTTTTTTTAAATATTGAAGCATCAGTGACAAGAACTTAAAAAGATGGGGGAGACGAAATGTATGCTTTATTATTATAGAATAACAAGTTATGTTTATGAAACACTGATGCCCCTGTATGGCAGCTTTTAGCAAAGGTTAAACTTTCTCAACACTGCAGTTCATCCATAACATCTTGAGTGTTTTCTCTTTCAGTATTGTCCTCTTATTTTTCACGTTCTGCTGCGTCTTGATAATAACGACCCACTTCTCAATACATTTATATGAACTATTGCACACTTTTACAGTCCATTAAACGAGAGCTATTCACATCAGGCAAATGGGGGAAAAATGTTTTATAATTGATCCTGATTATGGAAGACATGCTGACTCTGTAGAGCGTCTGATTTCTCTGTGGACTCCTGTAATGAGTTATTGAGTTTATTATTTATGCTTATGTCTATATAGAGAATCCCTCCGTTTCTGTATATGTACATGTAGCAGATATGAGTCTGCTGAGTGCCAACAGGACATATGTACAATGTATATCTCCTATTCACAGTTTCTTAGATGAAGTCAAGCTGGTTAAATTTCTTTGTGCTTATAATAAACAAGGATGGAAACTTCAAAAATGCGAGTTACTTTTGCTAAAGCTGTGCGTTTAAGCTGCTCTCGATTATAGATTTTGTGTACATGTACAATATACATGATATAGTTATAGCATGAATCTAAATGAAATTATAGGGAATGTGCATGACCTGTTTAGTGCTGTACTTGTATTGAAAAACACATTTTATAGGAGGAATTTACAAAAATTTCTTTGTAAAATGTTATCATCTTCTGGTATATGTAGATTTTACGGATGATTGAAAATGAATTGTCGAAGATCAGATATAAAGCAAGTATATGTTACCCACCGTGATGGGAATGTGATGGTGAATTTCACAAAACGAAGGATCAAAGAAATGTAGTTTCTAGATTTCAACGCCATAATTATTAATTAGAATATTTTAGAAGCGGCCTTTTGGTTAATACTTTACAGATCATTGAAGATTTAATGGCTAAATCTTTACAGGTCATTGAATGTCAACATTAATTTCTAGAAGACGCATAGCGTAAAACTTAACATAAAATTTCACAAGTACGTAATTTCAATGTAGAATTATTAATTAATAAGCGAATTTTTACAGAGATATATCAATTAATTAAATATCTTTATTTCTCTTGAATAAATAGCTACCAGGTAACTATCCCAATGCTGTGTTCATGTTTCATTGTAGCAATTTATAAATAAGGTGTGTTACTTAACGCAGTAGTAATTTTAAGAAAGGAAAGTGTTCGGTCCAGTAATTTATTGCTTTGTAAGGTGGGGCAATCTGTGTCATAAGCACTGATAAACATTTAAAATACGCGCTTCACCTGTGTTTCCCCTACTCTGATTTGGTCGAGTGATTACAATACAAATACCTGACAAAAAGTGAATGGGACATAGGTATACACACTATTGAATGTATTCCTGTAATTGACCATAAAAACCCTACACCTGGTCAAACCAGTCATCTACTGTGGTCCAAACCGACACGACTAAGAGCTTAAGACGTTTAAGAAAGATGGCAGCCGCTCAGAGGAAAATGTACGAAGACTTTTTTGACAAGACCGATGCAATGGGACAGAAGGACGGCAAAGTTTCTATCCAGGAACTGAAGAAAATGGTTGTAGAAGGTTTGGGACAGAAGAAATCGGATCGAGAAATAGCGGTGAGTGCTGGGGGCGGATTGAGGGGAGCGTGTGTCAAACCTCAATAGTTTCAGTACGTTTGAGCACACTTTCAAAATTATCATAGTTATAGCAAACATGTTGTATATTTCATATCTAAATAAGATCTCTCTGTATGAATGTCAATATTTAAAAAAAAATGAAAGTATCAGATGTTATATATACTGCTTGACTAAAACCGAAGCACGTTTTTTAAAGCAAATACACGTACGTCAGTAATTCTACCCTGTTAGATTTGGGGAAATGCATGCATGATAAAATACGTATAACGCAGTCTGTACACATTTTTATTACAAAATGCGGATAAGTACATAATCATAGGAACTGTAAAATTCGATTCCAGATTATCTGTTTACCTGTGTAATAATTCATTCTATCACCCACTCTGTTTGAATAACTTGTATAGACAGGAAATAAATATTTTTAAAAGAGTTTAACCTTGTCTAAAAAATATGCAGAGTTAAAATATAGTAAGAACGAATATTCACAAAATACCTCGAGCTCTAAATTCAAAAATGGATTTATTATGTCAGTTTAAGGTACACGAACGGATATTTAAAGCTATATGTGTAATAAATATTCTATACTGACTTCGATAAGCATAATACTGTTTATAGGAACACAGTATTTGCGGAGAATATGATTAAAGATGAGCCCTGTTACTGGTACAGGTACACGTCAGTATCAATAGAGGAAGACGTACTATATATATGGATGAATTATAATTGTATAATATATATACTTCTCCATAAAATTTTCATTGGAGGACAGCCATCGTCGCAAACCACGGCCAAAATGTACGATCCTCTCCCATTCTGGTAGGAGAGAGCTATAAGCGGACTCTGGGCCGTGGCTTGAGACGATGGAGGACAGCTTGTCTTCACTATGTTGTACGCAAAAAATATTAAACAGCTGTCTGTTGGTTTAGATGTCATTAATCCTATCTGTGCCAGGAGGCCTGTTATCTTTGTTATGTGTGGACTAATATTTAACAAAAAAATTGGTGGGAACGGAACTTAAGAATTAAATACTTCATAGGCATGGGTAAAACGAATTTAACATGACAATCCTACTCCGAGACGACGTAAAACTGTATGCTGTCTGTTTCACGTCCCCCGTGGGTAGGGCGATTATAAACGACTCCGGACATTCGTCATCCAAATTATATGTTAAATGATAAAAGTAAGAGTTGATCAAGTACATGTTGATGTAAGTCATGTGCAACAATATATTCGAGAAGTGGTATAAATCAGATGTGGATACTTAAAAATTCCAAGGAACTTTTGGAAAATTTGAAATCACAAAATTTTACCAAAATCAATAACATTAAAACTTTCGACTTTTCAACTCTATATACAACCATTCGCCACGATAAATTAAATCCCAGGCTTTTTGACATCATCGACAGCTGCTTTTTCAATAAAAATGGAACTCGTAAATTTACTTACCTTGTCATTGGTCAGTAGCAAAATTATTTTGTTAAAAAGTCATTATGTTTGTACGCACAAGTTCTCTGACATTGATATTAAAAAAAGATGCTTGAGTTTCTGATTGACAATACTTATGTGGTTTTTGAAGACCCGATATTCCAACAATCTGTTGGAATAACTATGGGTACCAATTGCGCCCCGTTATTAGCAGACCTATTTTTGTATTCATATGAATCAGAATTTATTCAAGATCTTATACACGAGAAAAAGAAAACATTTGCTTTGGCCTTGTGACGGTACATATTGTCGTTTTGTACATATTGTCGTCGGCGACAATATGTACCTACCCTAACTGCACATATTGTCGTCCTTCGGTACATATTGTCGCCGGCGACATTATGTACCGAGACAAGCCTTATTTTACTCCTGCTTAGCAAAATGTACAGTCAAGCACCAGCACATATTGTCGTCGGCGACAATATGTACAGTCAAGGTCGGCATATATTGTCGTTGATACATTGTTTTGACGAGTATTTACTTGAGAAAGGAACGAGAGATTGACAAACACACAAACACGCACGAAGGGAGACAGACCGCATTACTCGCAATACTGTAAGGAGAAAATTTTTTGGTCAGAAAATTGTGTCCAGAATTGATGTACATCACTATGATATGTCAAGATACCGTAATTCTTGAGATATCTGATCAATCATGATTAATCCATGATTAAATTCCATGCCAGCATTAAGTGAGAAACTATACTTTCTGGTGGAAGGCTTTTTTTTTTTTTAGAAGAAAATGATCACGGTAACCTAGTGGTAGGGCGCTCGCTTCGTGATAGGGAGACCCGGTTCGATTCTAGTTCGCCGCGCCGCGTCAAACCTTAGACGTAAACATAGGTAGTGACTGTTCCTTCGCCAAGCGCGCAACACTAGAAGTGAAAGTCACGGGCCTTTCGAATGAGACCTTAAAAACCGACGTCCCGTGTTACGGTAGGCGTTTGCACGATAAAGAACCCTACTGCTTAATGGCCCTGAGTGCCGAGTAAAGGTCTAAATTTAAAGCACTTCACCAGCATATGGTGACGTCTCTATATGAATGAAAAAATCTCGAATGGGACGTTAAACAATATAAAATCAATCAATCCAATTTTTCTCTTTAGAAGTATTTACAGTATTGTTAAGTTTGGATTCCTATTTTTACATGCAGTTTGCACACAGAGTTATTTTGAGCAGTGAAATGATTTATGCTGGTTTTAAATTATGAATTAAATTAACTGTCATGAATTCTAGCATTATATTTGGAAAAATATAACAAATATTCTGAAAGTCTTGGAAAAATAGTCCAATTTAAGTCTTAAAATTAACACTATTTTAGTATTATCTAAAGATTAACATCACAGACCCAAACTTTTAATTTTCTTTTCTTTTCTTTTCTGAATATATAAGATAATTTTAACAATTCTGCTTAAATTCAGAAAACTGTCTTTACTTTCAAATGATTTTATTGCTTGTTTTTTAACTTTTTAGTTTTTAATGCCATAAAATGACATTTTTTGAGTGCAGAAAGGTCAAATAATTAACTATGCGAAGTAATTTGAAACTTGTTTTTATTTTCACAAATTTTACTGTGTTTATTCAAGATGAAAAAAAGACTGTGTTTGTTCCCATAATTTATTTGGATAAAAAATATGAGAGGAAAAACTTTGAAAAATTGATTTATGTGTTAGACGTAATTACAGTGCAAAAAGGTCATATTAAATGCTCCGCAGCGCCAAAAGAAGGTCATTGACCCACATTTTTTGTTTTGATTTTTAATTAAGCTATGTGTGTAGATTCTAAAAATATACTTGATAAAAAATTCTCAAAACGTTTGATAACAGGATCCAACCTCCTTAACGCCGAGTTGGCAATATTTAAGCCATATTGCGGCGATCAAATTAAGTGTATATGACCATTTTTGAAGTTTTTGGTTTCTATGGCCATATTTATATGAAGCATTACCGTGCATTGTTATGCGACATGTTCTGATGGATGACAATATGCGCAGTGAGGATAGGTACACATTGTCGCAGGCGATAATATGAACAGGACGACAAAATGTACCGTTACAATCACGCTGCATGAAATAGCATACGAGACACGTGAGTGTCATTCACATACCAAATACATTCACAAAACTACCAAAAAACAACAAAAGAAATCTTTAAGGAACAATATCTGTGGGGCGACAATTTGTACAGTGATGGTGAGGCACATAATGTCGCCGGCGACAATATGTACATTTGTAACTTTTCAGCCGGCGACAATATGTACCGAAGGACGACAATATGTGCAGTGAGGGTAGGTACATATTGTCGCCGACGACAATATGTACAAATCGACAATATGTACCGTCACAGGCCTTCAACTCGACATTTAGGATATATCAACGACTTATTATCAATAAACAATAGTTATTTCCATTCATATGTCGACACGATATATCCCAGTGAACTTGAAATAAAAGATACCTCTGTTACAACGCAAAATGTAATAACAACGCAAAAAGTAATAAACACAATACAAAAAATATAATTATCCAAAAAATATCTTATTACATTTTGCGTTGACATCAACGCAAAACGACCGGTCACGGTAGCCTAGTGGTAGGGCGCTCGCTTCGTGATCGGAAGGCTCGGGTTCGATTCTCGTTCGCCGCGCCGCGTCAAACCAAAGACGTCAACATAGTGACATGAAAGTCATGGGTCTTTCGGATGTGATCTTAAAAACTGAGGTCCCGTGATACGGTAGGCGTTGGTACGATAGAGAACCCCCACTGGTCAATGGCCTTGGGTGCCGATTGTAGGTCTAAATTGAAGCCCTTCACCGGCATACGGTGACGACTCTATATGAGTTAAAAATTCTCGAATGGACGTAAAACAAAATACAATCAATCAATCAACGCAAAACGTAATCACGCAAAATGTAATATTCCTATAAGTTTCTTATTACGTTTTTCGTTATTACATTCTGCGTTGATTTCGACGCAAAATGTAATAATCCCGGTTTATTACATCTCGCGTTGTTATTACATTTCGCGTTGTAACATACCTCAGAGTCTGACTCATCTGTTTCATATTTTACTAGAAAAAGACGTTAATGGTACCCTAACAACAAAGCTTTATGATAAACGTGATAACTTTAACTTTTCAATCTTCAACTTCCCTTACTTATGCAGCAATATACCCTTATCACCTGCAGCTGAAAACGGGGTTTATATCTCTCAGTTGATTCTCTCAGCATGCTCTACGTATGAACAATTTCTAAAACGAGGTTAAGTTATTCACAAACAAGTTGATGAAACAAAAAAAATCAACAATCTCGTTTAATTACATTATTTCATAAGTTCTATGGTCGATACAATGACCTTGTCAGCAAATACAATCTATCATTAAGTCAAATGCTGACTGACCTATTTCATACTAATTGTTAGGCCAATATTTACACACTGAATTGTAGACGGATTTTCCGATATTTCCCGATTATGACAAGGAACACACGGCGGGTGTG